CTGCCTTCAGCTCAGGTCATGATCTTAGGGTCCTGGGATCGAGTCCCGCATCAGGCTCCCTGCTCAGCAGGGAGCCTGCTTCCCTCTCTCTCTGCCTGCCTCTCCATCTACTTGTGATCTCTCTCTCTGTCAAATAAATAAATAAAATCTTTAAAAAAAAAAAAAGGCGAGAGATAATCCTCAAGTTGTTTTTTTGTTTTGTTTTGTTTTGTTTTGTTTTTATTTGACGGAGAGAGAGATCACAAGTAGGCAGAGAGGCAGGCAGAGAGAGAGGAAGGGAAGCAGGCTCCCTGCCGAGCAGATAGCCGGATGTGGGGCTCGATCCCAGGGCTCGATCCCAGGACTCCGGGATCATGACCTGAGCTGAAGGCAGAGGCTTTAACCCACTGAGCCACCCAGGCACCCTCTCAAGTTGTTTTTATTATGCTTTGTTAATAGTACATTTGCAAATTTAAGTTCCTTAATAGAAATCCTGGTAGCTGGAAATGCTAATAGTTCATTCACCTAGAGAAAAGAAGCATTGGTAATTAACAGGTACTGTCAATTTGTATGAGAAAACCCTGACATTACCTGAGATCAAAAATTCTCTAGTAGTAAAACAGCTACTATTATTCAGAAGACAAAATAGATTTTAAATAAGTTCTGAGATAACCTTTTATATTAATTCTTGGCTTCTGAATTTCTTTCCAAAGCTCTCTAATAAAAAAACCTACAGTAGACAACAGAGAAGCCAATATATAACATATAACATAACTATGCTCTCTTTTCAAGCCAGGTCTAAGGGCATTTAGATGTTCTTTGAGTTATAGAGAGATTCAGATTAAATTTTGGAGATGTTTAGCTATGGGAATTTATTTGTTTTTGTTTTTTAATAAAGATATAGTTTAATTTGTGGATTAAACACAGGCATGTGATATGATGAGCACTGGGTGTTATATTCAACTAATGAATCATTGAACATTATATAAAAAACTAATGATGTACTAGGTTAATTGAGTTTAAAATTTTTTTTTAAAAAGCAGAGTTTAGTTTAGTAGGCACTGCTAGAATAGCTGTAAAGTCCTGTTATCATTTTAAGGTTTATTAACCTTGAATACAAAGGACAGCAAGACATTGTGAGCATCACACAAAAACATATTTCATTGTTATTTTGGTGATCATTTTTAATATTTATATTTACCACTCTAAGAGACAAATACTCATTGCTACTCCTTTGCATTTTAGAGACATAATAAAGATGATTTTTTTAAATTCCTAAATGAGCATGATTAAATTTTTGTGATAATCTTCTTCTAGCAGCCTTGAGCTTGGCTTCCTGTATGATAGTTCTTAGACAGGCACCTATCAGGGAGCTGACCAAGAACAGAGGACTGACCACTGGCTACTCACCGATTTGAGGCTTTCTTTTGGGACCTGACCAGAACCACAGGTTGTGGAGGATCCTGGGACAACCGTAATTTGTCAAGCCAGTTGGCATCAAGTGGACACTGTTTTCAATTAGGTGAGACATCACAACTCAGCTGATGTTTAAATTTTGCTACCCGCAGTGCTGTCAGAGCCACTAGCTCATGTCATTTACATAATGATGGAACATGGTCGAAACTCAAATGTTACACTTGTGGGTGGACTTCCGAACATTCAGATGTTGTCAATCACCAATGATACAGTGGAGAAGACCCTGAAGTCAGAGTGTTCTGGTTTGAATTCCTGGCTCCTCCATTCCTGTGTGGCCTCAGGCAAGTTTCTGAACCTCTCTGAGCCTAAGTTTTCTCCGCATGTATAAAACAATAACAATACTGCTACCTCTGAGGCTGACCTGCTGTAAGGTAATACATATGTTTAGTACAGCGGCTGGCATATAATAAGAATTCAAAGAATGTGACTTATTTAAGACATACTTTAGGACACTAATGGGTACATAAGGCATTTAAAAAATGTAAGTCAGTGTTACAGTGATTCTGTTACATTTTAGTCTGTCTAATAATATGGGTGGCAGTACTGAGTAGCTTTTTTTTCAGGCAAGTAGATCTATACAAGCACACTAATATCTCAACATTTTTTAACAGGATAATAAAGAACTATCTCAACTTTCATTTTCATCTGTGACCTTGACAATCCTAAATATTGAATGAAAACAGAGACAAATAAAGGCATCTATGTCTCTTTAAGGATTATGGCTTAGAAGACAAGAAAACTTGGCCCAAAGATAGGGTGGACACCACCTGAGGGGTGGGACAAAAGGGCAGTGCACTGCTATTTGGGACCCTGGCTTTCAGTCTTGATCTTGTCATGCACTTGCCACGTGACCCTGGTAAGTCACTTCAGCTCTCCGCCATGGCCTCCTAGTGTGCAGAGGAAGAGTGGGACAGAGTGATGCCAAACTAGACTATGGCCATGAAAACTCAGGATAGGGCAGGGAGGCAGAACAATTCTGGATATCCCAGGAGGGTGTTAGTCATGGGACAAATTCCACTGAAGAGACAACTAATAGGAAAATTGGGCCAGGAAGACGGAAATGACCTCACACTTGCCCTTGTGCCCTGAGCAACCAGTCCAAAGAACACCTCATTTATTTTATCAACCAAAGCCAACTGGTTTGCCTGAGAAAGGTTAGTTTCTTGGCTCTGGGTTCCTTCCACCCTTAAAGGAGCTGGCCCGCCCCATACATCATGCATCTGTAGTCAAACAGGAACAGCCAGCAAATCATCAAAATCATTTTCAAAAAGCCTTAATAAAACAGGACAAATTTAATACCCACTACCGGATCAGAAGAAACAGAGATAGTTTAGCACAACCTCACTCTCTTGCACCAACTCTTTTACATTCAATTAATGTGAATAGTTAAGTAGCATTTTCCCACAAAGCATAGGGCCAGAAGCATTCTAAGTATGTGCCATAGGTATTGAAGCTGTTGACTAACATGGGTTTCTGGAATGTCTTCCTTGGTTGCATGACCTTTTCCCACATTTGCTTATGGTATTTTCACTTTCGTGAAGGGGGATGACAGCCCCAGCCAGACTGGAAAGACATGCCATCTTTCCTTTAAGCCTGTCTCTGCTTGGGTGTGGCTACTTCCTTCACCAGCTGAAGAAAAAAATGTGAGCCAAGGCCTGAGAATCTCTTCTAAACTGTGACAATTTACTCTTTCATAGTGACCTCCACCTCCTGCCCTCTTAAAGCTGTAGGCTCAATTGTTTTTCATGAGCTTTATAACAGACAATTTTACAACATCTCAGATCCAGTATCTCCCACGGTCTGTGATATTCTCCCAGTTAGCAAACAGGCAGGGAAAGCTGGTGGGGAGAAGCATGTCTTCCACGTGGCCCAAAGACCCTGATGTACTTGGATGCCAAGCAAAAGACCCGACTCCCAGCTTTTTTCTACTTTCCATGATATTAAAAACAGAAACAAACAAAAAAACTTGAGAGAAATGGAAGTATAATGACAACTTGTAACATTCGTGGGAGTAGACACCACGTTTACTATAAAAATCTCAGTCATAGAAATGAACAGATCTACTAAAGAAGAGAAAACTGGTCTCTACCTTTTAAAATCAGGTTTTATGCCCCCAAACCTACAAATACATTCATAGCTGGTTATGGCCCTTTTGGTGGATTTTATCTTATTATGAAGAGTGAATTTCTATAACTAGAATTGTATGTTAAAAATATTTCTTAAAGGTCACTTTAAGAAAAATAAAGATCTTGTGAAATAAACGCTGCTTTTTTGTCTGGTACTCTCTGCTACTAGCCTTTGCCCATTCTTCTTTGTGTTTCAGCGGAAGATCTACACAGGTATCTTTATAGGTGCTTGTATGAACAGGACATCTCATCCTTTCTCATTTGTACAAGGGGTCTTCACCTCTATCATTTATATTTATAAACTCTTTTCTTGTAGGTTATCGCCTCAAAGTTCCTACTGAGTTATAGATACTTATTCCCTAATTAGTCCACATTCATTCACCTTTTAATTTATGTATTTTTAAAATTCTCAGTGACATTTCAAAGCCGTGTGATTTGGGGACAGGAAGGAATGTATACTACAAAAGGGCTTATGTACTTTGCTGTTTTACTTTTCTTATCCAAAGATTTTCACATGTGAAATTATTCTAATATTTGCCTAAGATATTGCTTAGGTCAGAAATCAAGATCCCTACAGATTCTTACGCTTGAAATGACCTGGTTGCCACCACCCACTTTGACAAAGAAGACTGTGATTTAATTATCAAGGCTTCTTCGCAGAGATGAATCAATGAGTTACTGGGTATTTTGACAAATCAATGATATCAGTGCATTTACCTGCTCAGAAAATGCTACTAAAGTGGCTAGGAGCCCATTAGTGAACACACTACCTTCAAATGAAAACTGGTGGAATTTTAAATTCAGGACCCCCAATTTTTTAAGGTGGGGAAGGGGCAGAAAGGAGGGGCAATGTTATTGTTTTTATCCCACTTGGACCAAAATCAAAAGTGTGGGGAGTGGTCTCTACACATCCTTGCTCACTGCCTATGCCAGGAAATTAGCATGTCCCAGGGACTGCCCGTGTCCCAGTCTGAGCTAGAAAGGGTAATATGTTTGCCTGCCCTAATTCCAGTTAGAACCGGAGGGAGTTCTTCAGTACACTGGAAGCACTGTGCAACATCTCACCAGAAAGAAGCAAGCAGGCCCACAGGTATGCATAGCTGGAACCCGCCAGTCAGGAATGCGTGCCTTGATATACAAGAGGCGTTTGCACTCATGCCGGGAATTGAGACGAAATCCCTTATTACTATTTCTCTAACATTAGGTTACATGGCAAGCAACCTGTAAGACATCTAAGTATATGTGATTTTTAGAAGAGAAGACATATGATTTAGCTACCTTTTATGACAGGATAATTAGCTTTAAAAAGTAACAAGTCCCCTCAGTCAATACGCCTGAACTACAGCAGATTTCTAACCCATAATCCCACTTCAATTGAATAGCAAGACCTTGTCTTGACAAGAGCATAAAATGCAGTACCTTTTCTCCATAGCCTCTATCTTTGGTCATCATTTCTCGGAGGGTCTGTAGGACCTTAATGCAGAGTTTTTCCTCATTCTCCTCTAGCAACTGTTTAGTATGCTTTATTAACCTGAATGGAGGGGAAACCATGCATTAGGTCCGTGAAATGATCTTTGAATTAAACAAACAATCACTTCGCAAGCAACTTATTTTAAGTAGTCAGTTAATGAACAAATACTTATCAAAGGCTCACAGGTTCGACATGCTTCGGGGCATTCACTGTAGTGAGAACTGCCAGTTAGTGTTTCTAAAGTGTCTCAACAGTGACACCCGCTGGTCAGTAACAGCAAAAGGGCACCCTGGGCAGGAGTCTACCACATAAGAGGGGAAGACGATAGGGAAAGAGAAATAGGACAGAGGTCCACTCAAACCTGTCAGTTTATAGAGTGTGGCTTTTTACGCACCAAGGGGTGCTGATAACATGGTTAAAATATGCCACTGGTATTAAAAAACAGCAACAACAACAAAAAAGTCACGAGGATGATCGTTAAGGTGAACAAACACTGTTCATTAACCCATAGTCTTGTTCTTTGAGGGACTCAGGGTCCTTGGAGGGGATCTGAGGCAGAGTCCACTCTCAAGTTAACCAACCCACCTTAGGATAAAAATCAAACGGAGATTTCCACTGATGGAACCGGTTGTTTCTTAGAGATAATGCCTCAAGGCATAAACTAAGAAGTTACAAAGATGTTGGGAAAAGACTGTGGGATCTTGGTATGTCTGAGCTTTTTGAGGGCAGAAGGGTCACGACCCTCCAGCCCACAGTGGACACCCTGCTGGTGCCTGTGGTACAGAAGATGATTGGAGAAATTCTCACGTGAAACAAGTGTCAGGAAGTACAACCGAACCCACAGACTTTAGAAAGGTCAGAACGGGACTCTAATGCATGACCTTGTACTCATCAAAGTCAAAAACCAGGCCAGCATCTGCTTCTTAACGAACAGGTACTTTGTCTGGTCAGCAGGGCTCCGCAGTCGACCACCCCAGAGCGAGAGGCTGCTTACTTGCAAATGAAGCCACCACTTTCACACTTTCTCCTGGCATCTGTGTTCTCTGGGAAAAGCAGCTCAGGTCTGTGGAGCACATCCACGAGCACAGATAACTCTGCCTGGACCAGGGGCCTTAGACGGTCCTCCAGGGCCGAGACGATGTCCTGGAATGGAAGTACAGCTTTGGTGAGCAGCTCAGACCGAGGCTGACTACAGGAGAGTAAGAACATTCATTTCTGACCTCAAAAATGACCACAACCTAGACTAGGTTAGAGCGCCGTTAGTGCTGTCTGATATTTATCGCAAATTATTAAACATTGCCCCAGGGGTATCTGAAGCCATAGCCCCTGATGTGGAGAACAAGGTAAAAACAAACCTCCCAGCCCTTCTATTGTGATGATCCTTATGCCACTCAAGGGGTCATTCCACATATTTTCAAATACGATGCAAAAAGTACACTCGACAACATGGAAAAATGACTACAATATGAATGCAAAAAAATGGTTAAACAATAGCATGGAGTATATGATCCGATTTTTTAGAAACAACATCAGTACCTAAGGATATATACCAAATATCAGCAAAACATCACTGGTTTTCTCTGGGTGGTGGGATTGCAGGTGATTCCAATTTTCTTCCATAAATGGGTACTTGGGAGTACAGTCAAATTACTTCCAATGAGCATGAATTATTATATAATAAAAAGTCATACCAAAATGAGCACACAAATGAATGAACATGCTGTATCAACATGCTAAATACATGTACCCTGATAGCATGATGGTCTTCAAATGCAAAACACATAGCTGTAGGAGAGGAAAACAGAGAGAAGTTGAAAGAGCAGCAAAACCAACACAACAAACACCATATAAAGGCAAATGGCAGAAAACAGATGAGAAATTATCTTCAAAAGATGCTAAAGTCTGCTGGATGGCTTGGTGAGTCAGAACCTAACTAGAAGCCTTGCTGATTAAGATGGGAGCTGAACACAGCAGGGTAGATAATAGAGGAAGGCCTAATAAACCAGGGAGATTTGCAAGGGAAAGGTCACTTAAATGACCTTTAAGTCATTCAACGTAACTGGAGACCCAAATTTCATAGGGAATGGTCAATAAAGAATTGATTTAACTGTTACCCCAAAACTAAAACTAAAGAATGTGAATATTGTTTATTTTATACTGAACAAAATTTACAATCACTCAATAATATTTAGGATGCATAAAGAATGCATGCATCGATCAAATTATTTTAGGGGGAAAGGCAATCTTTCCAGCAAGAGTACACTACAGTATCCCTTAATTCATACTGACATTCACAGCACAGTCAAAAAGAGGGTCATTTTTTTTTTTTTTTTAAATCTGTTTCTTCTTTGAAAGCACCCAAAGTTCTCTTCTTCAGTAGTTATCAGTCCTAACTCTGGCAAACCTTTGTCTATAGCATTTGCAGGGGGTTGAAGCAGTTCTTCAAAATCATATTCGTAAAATCCTGCATCTTTTGCAAGGTTTGAACTTTACACTGCAATTGATTTGCATTGTATTGCCAGATGTTTAGCATTCAGCAATCGAGGAGACCAACAGACAAGGATGGTGAAGCAATGGGTAGGGAAAGATGCTGGTGTTAAGTGAGGGGCTGTCTCAATGGAGATTAGTCATACAAGCAGTCAGGCTGCAAGTGAATGTTCTTAGATTATGACAACTTCTGCCGTCCCAGGCAATCTTCTACTACAGGGACGCAGAAAATACATCACGGCATAATGAGGATCCTTTCAGCCGCTACTCAAGTCTTCATAGTAAGTGTTAGCTAGGCTTACATATTTTATTTTATTCCTCAAGAATATGCATAATAAATCCGAGAAGAGCACAAGAAACTGGTGTGTTTGGCTGCAGATAATTTATTTAGTCTGAATAGTAAAAAATACTGTGCATTCAAACAATTGTGAGTCTATAATATCCCTTCACTTTAAAAATATAGTAGAGTGAGGAAGCACTCTATTTGAACTAAATTACCTTTAAGACTGGGTCTGTCAGAGGAAGGGTGGAATTCTTTCCCTGACCTAAGAACACCTTCCTACTTCCCCAGCTCCATGGGCTTCCAGCCACACACTAACCTTCCTTTGGTCTTCAAATGCATCACATTCTGTCCCATTAAAAAGTTCTTTTCATATGCGTTACCCTCCCTTCTACTCTTTTCTTTAAGTGAGTCCTATATTCCTCTGATCTTGGTTCAAACATCACTCCTCAGCAAAGCCTTGGATCACCATTCCAGCTCTGGACAAGATGAGGTTCCTCAGCAGCTCTCCATAGCACTACTCATTTGTGGTTTTGTTCACCATTGCATTCCTAGTGCCCACCATGAGTAGAGCTAATAGATGCATCTGTAGGCAGGTTATATAACCTCAGAGAGATTCATTGTTACAGTCCTAACAGCAATGACAGTAACAGTAATAATCATAATAGCAGCTGTCATTTATCAAGTGCTCACTACACAGCAGGCTCTATCCTATGCTGTTTACATGAACTATTTTCCAAAAATGGCCACTGTAATATATCTTCTCTTGCACGTCCTTCTTACACTGCATCACTGACATTCATTCTTCCCATCATATGGTGGTCTATGTCCCCTTCCCTTGAACCTCAGTGGACACTTGTGAGTGTCTTGACCAAGAGAATTTGACAAAAGTGATGATGCTATGTGTGCCCTAAAGTCATTACAGCTTTTGTTGTCTCTCTCTCTGAGAGATGCTGATCTTGGGACCCAGCCACCGTGCTACAAGCAAGCACCGACCACATGGGGAAACTGCATGGAGATGCTTCAGCTCACAACTCCAGCGGGGGGGGGGGGGGTCCCAACATCAACGGCCAAACGTGTGCAAGATTCCAAGATGAGTCCAACCGCAGCTGCCATCTCACTGCAACTGCATTCAGGACCCTGAGCAAGAAACACCTTAGCGAGCCTAGCCAACCTCTAGAACAGCAGAAAAGAAGGAAATAATGGCTGTTGTGATTTGGTAAGCAGGCAAATGTGTTCCGATAATGGGAACAGGTTACCAGCCTTGTAATCCTTACATCCACCCCTTGAGGTAGGTGTTACTATTATCCTACTTCACAGATGAGAAAACCAAAGCACAGAGCAATAAAGTAACCTTTCCGAGGACACAGCATTTCTAAGCAATGGCGTCAGGACTTGACCGCAGGTGCTGGCCTGAGATCATGCCCTTAACCACTGCAGCAGGCCCATCTGAAGTGTCTGAGAATCTCCGACAATGGCCCATGCACTTCCTGTAAGAGAATCCCTTAAAGAGCTTGCTAAAGGAAGGTGCTCACGTTAAGATGTATGTTTAAGTGTTTAACATACACCTAATATTCACTACTCTTCCCTTAATAAAGGGACAGATCTCTTCCTAGGTGCTAAGAAAAAAAGTACAATCCAGGTAGAATTTAGGAACATTTTTATTTTCAGTTGGCTCGGTCTGATAGAAAACTCTTTTCTCGGCATTATTAGTTTACCTGCTAAATCAAGAGGCTACATATCCAGGGTGATTTAAAAAATAAAAAAACATGGAGCCCTCATGCCCTTATTCTAAGTACCCCTTTGTAATACTTAAATATTCCTTCCTGGTAAGAGCAGAGTCCCCATTCTACAGAAAGAAATCTATAAATCTATGAATCTTTACAGACCATGACTTCGTGAGGAGCTCTCCTCTTCCCAAGTAGCTTTGCATTCTCGGTCCTATGTCTATTACGGTGCTTGACTATCCACTCACATGCCAACATCTCTCTATGGCCCATCTTGGTTTTTCTTTGGCTCATGGAAGCACTGCTGTATGGGAACCACCTTAGGCCTGGTTCAGGTTCACTCCTCCCTGGGTCAGGCATTACCTGCAATCTCTCAATGATATTCCGGTAGTCTCTAGAAGCCGCCAGAACAGAGTCTCTGCGAGCCGCATTGCGGGCAGTCAGCCGCCAGTTCATGGCAGTTTTCTGTACGATGTTGTGGGACTTCAGAAAGAGGTTGTTGACTTGGCTGTCCAGGTCCACAGGAATAGCGATGGCCCGGCTCTTAGCTACAGGGAAGAAAGATGACTTGTGAGACTCCAACATGGGAAGGAGATGCCCCAAAGACAGACTTAACCCCCCCATCATCCTTCAGGCAGATTTTTCTGAGCCATGTCACTTGCATGGCAATGAGTGTGAACGCTGAGGAGCTCAAATGAATCTGACCATCCTTAGGTCAGCAATTTTCAATGTGAATTCTTGGGGGCAGTAGCTCTGAGGATTAACATGTTCTAAGGTCAAACTTTGGGCAAGTCAAAGTTAAACTTCAATGGGTTTCCTCAATGATTGGCATCCTAAGGTCTCCCTTGTGTTCATATATGTAAAGAATTATGAAGACAGGGAACTGATTTGGCTATTTTTCCAAAAATCCTCTATCGGTGGTATTCTACACAACAATCTACAAAATGCCAATTTAAGCCAAACATAATACAAACAATGATATTTACAATAACATAAGCTATTCTTTCCATTTAGGCTCGTGTCTTCCCCTCTTAAACTCCAGTCTAATCATGAGGAAAGGAACAATCAAACCCACAGCAGGGATATTCTACAGGACACCTGATCAGCACTCTTCAAGACTGTTAATGTCATAAAAAACGAGGGAAATCCGAGGTACTTCTGCAGCCCAGAGGGGCCTAGAGAGGCATCACAACTAAAGGCAACGTGGGACCCTAGAGAGAATCCTGGAACAGATGAAGGACATTGATGGAAAAAGTGGTGCCAAGTCTGGAGTTTATTTCATAGCAATGGGCCAATATCAGTTTTGTAGTTTTGACAAAAATATTCTGGTGTTGCAAGATGTTGACAGCAGGGGAAACTGGGTGAGGGGCATATGGGAACTCTGTGTGTTCCCCTGGCAACCTTCCTATATGTCTGAAATTCATCCAAAATAAAAAGCGTAATTAAAGAAGGAAAATAAATAAGACCAACAATCCTTTTTTTCCATATGGAAAATCCAACAACCTCCAAAAAGCAAGACAACAACTGCCTATCTTTAATGGTTCCTAAGACCAGAAGCAAAGAAGAGGTGCCATATTACCTGTATCTAACTGTAAAATCAAAGCTAGCACCCTGGAAGAAGCAATCTGAGAAGCAATTGTTTAAATCCAATTAAAAACAAAAACAAAAAAACTGAGTGTGGGTTAAGGAACCATCAGCCAGCCAACGAATTTTAAGGTTTAATAAAGCAAGTGAGAAATTTGGGGAAAAAGATAAGAATAAAAAAAAAAAAACAAAAAAAACCCCAGGATGCACAGCGTACACTCAGCTAGAAATAATGTGCACCAGATACCCCTTTCTGAAGATAAACCATGAAAAATAGTGAACTTTGGTGTGATTTTAGTCAGGAGGAGGCATTCCCCAAGAGGCACATGTCTGAATTCCTGGGGGGCTGCACTGTTTTCATGCCCTGCCACTTAAAAGACATCCCCTCCCTCTGTCTTTTCTCGTCAGTTTCAAGCCAATTAAAACATTTCATCTCCCTAATGAGCATTGAGCTGGTCAGCTGGGCAACCTGCCCAAATTTAACTCAACAACTTCATGACGCCTAACCCTCCAAGGGCAGAGTAGCGAGTTCTGGGGATACTGTCTCAGAGCCTTGGCTCTGGGGTATCACGTCATGACCCTATAATGTACACACTTTCAAAAGCCTCATCTCTTATTATGAAATAGAGCTGCATAGATAATAAAAAGACACCAACACCTACCATGTGAGAGTCAAGGAAATCAGGATGGGAGGACTGAAATGAGGGAAGTCACCCTAATAGACAGCATCTGTATTTGCTGGGCAACTACTCAACAGTGCCGAGAACCTCACCTGTTTCTGCTGCTGCTCTCAAGGGATGGAAATAGCTACGACAGGGAGAGAACTCTTCTTAAATTTAGGCAGGCAGGGGAACTCCTTGCTTAATTAACATTTATGAAGGGGAACAGCGCCAAGAAATAGAGCCTGATTAAGTCCAGGTGAAGGGAGCAGTAATTTTTAAGACTTCCTTTCAAAGCTGCCAGAGAGGTGACAAGTAAGGGGTGGGGAAGAGGGAATGGAGCACCATTTATCATCGAGTCAAAAGGGATCAGCACACCATTTCTGAGAAAGGATGTTCCCTGGGCTTGGACGTGTACTTCATAGGAAGAAAGTTTCCATACGGTCAAATACACTTACTGGAGTAAACAAATGCATTTCTTGCATGAGAGACTTCCCAGAGCCTTCAATTAGCTTGTGTGCCCTGGGACTTGCCAAGAGTTGCCTCACACTGAACCACGCACTCTTCCTTTCTCAAAGGCTATCTTTCTTTGGGACTTACTGGCTCTTAACTTTGGGAGATGCTGGCTTGGTAGATGAAAGGAAGGGTTCGCAGTCAAGAAGATTTCCATTCCATCCTGCACGCGGAACTTCAGAAGAGCTAGAACAAGCGCTCGAGAAATGGCTCTCTCTAGCACTGGCAGGCAGTTCATTTTCATCACGTTCAATCCAAACTGCACGGTATCTTACCTACATCAGAGAGCACCCGGATACAGCTCTCCACGGAGGCTTTTTGGCTCGGCATTAACCAGTTGCAGTGGTAAACCCTGAACACACCTTGCAGCAGTTGCACAAAGACCGGCTGGCGAGTCTGCAAGGAAGAGAGGCCGAGAGACGGGCAGTATGACTTTTCTGCAGATCACGGATATGCCCATCAGAAACAGACATTGCACTGAACGGTGGGTTAACAGTAATGGACCCTTTGCAAGAGTGAGAAGGGGGTGACCGGTAATCAGCAGGATTCTAGAAGTTGCCTAGCCTAAGGAGGAAAAAATCAGAAGCATTTTAAGGGCATCTATAAACTTGATGCCAACTGAGTGACCAGAAGAACCAACCATGGAATCAATGTGAAAACTGGTATTATTGTCCGGTTACCAACTGGCAGTATGACTTCAGGCAAATTACCTCATGTCGCTGAGCTTTTTTTTTTTTTAGATTTTATTTATTGATTTGACAGAGAGTTCACAAGTAGGCGGGGGAGGGGGAAGCAGGCTCCCCGCTGAGCAGGGAGCCTGATGAGGGGCTGGATCCCAGAACCCTGAGATCATGACCTCAGCCAAAGGCAGAGGCTTAACCCAACTGAGCCATCCAGGTGCCCCTCATGTCTCTGAGCTTTAACTTCACCTAATATATAAAGTAAGTGGACTGAGGCAGATTAACCCAAAGTTCCTTCCAGACGTTATTTCCTATAAGCAGAACCTCTACTTTTAACCAGAAAAAACAAACTGATGAGTGGATCTCACCAAGAATGTTTACTTATTTGTAGCAGTGTCTTCAGTGATATAAACAGAAGACAGTTCTGATGGTTACTCATTCGAAGTATTCATTTACTACGGATGAGTTAACGATATGGTAGAATCTATTCCTAGGACGGTACAAATGTGTGTTCTTTTTATTAAAGTAATAGAACTCCAACATTTACTTCCTCAGTTTGACAGTGCTTTCTGAATGCATTTCAAAGTTATAATTATGGTCTCCACCCAAAGCTACCCAGGTCATGGTAGCTTTGACCTGCAAGGCAAACTTCACTGTGTACAGTGAGCTACTCCATGGGTTTTCAGTCTAGGGGAAGAGGACTTACACAGTCCCTCCAAAACACAGTGAGAGTTAATACAGCAAAGAAAAAAAGCATTAAAAAACTCTAGAAAGGTTTCTGAGATAGAAGAAAAACAATAGAAAGTGCTGGGGTAAGGGGGTAGAAACTCTATTAGAAGAAAGTACAATAGGTCAATAAAAAATTCAGAACCTCTTCTATGAACAATGTTCAGGTAACTTACACTTATTAGGTGCCACTTTTGGGGACTCAACTAACAATCCTGTGGCAAATAAACTGCCTTAATGCTATACATACAAAATGGGGGTCCAGAAAGCTTAAAAGAAAGTACACCAAAGAACGGAGAAGTGGTGGCAGAGCAGTGAGTCGACGTCAGGGCTCTCTGATGCCAACAACTTGTGCTCTTTCCACCAAGGTCACCCGCAAACCGGGATCTCACTGCTTTCTTCAAGAAGTACTTTCTGTGCCACATGCCAAGGGCTAAGGGCTTTTTGCCTCTCACTGAACCCTCACCAAGACCCAGAGAAGTCAACAGTGGAATTGTCATCCACCCCACTGGCTCCTGTGTGCTAGAGTTAGGATGAGAACCCAACACCCGAATTCAAAGAGTATCTCTGAATTCAAAATTCAAAAAGTTTCTTTGACTAAATTAATTCAATGGAACCAGTATTTACTAGGCTCTGTTCCCATCTGACCTCTGGAAAAACAAAAAATGAATAAATTGGCTAGAGTAGCTTCCATTAGGCAATCTGGGGGCATCACCTCACTTGACCTCTTGGACTAAAGAACATGGCTGCCCAACACCTTCTACATAAAATCCTCCCTTTTCTTAGATCCTGAAGCCCTGCTTTTTCCTTGAATCCCATCCTATGTGCGGGATAGAGTGAAGACCTTCCTCCGGCTTCTTGAGTATCTTGTCTCTAGTTATTTGTGCTGTGCCCAGTCCCCTCTAGTAAACCACTTCATTTTCTGGGCCACAACTTCAAGGAGCCAATGTATAAATTTGGATTCTACCTCTCCATTCTCCTGAGTCTCACCGATTCATTTACTTATTCAATGAGTCAGCAACTACTAGGTTCCGAGCACAAAGCGAGGCACAGGGACAGAGCAGTATCACAGACAACTGTGCACCTAAGACATAACTATGTCCTTCTTACCGTAGCTGACAGTCTAGCAGGGAAAAGCACAAGTTCCTGTTCACTAAGCCTCTCCTACGCAGCAGGCATTATGCTAGATGTTTCATAAAACATTATTTCTAGTGCTCACAATAACCTGTATGGCGGATACTACATTTCTGCTTCAAATGCAAGCGAAGAGGTTCGGAAGTTCGGTGGCCAAGGCAAGTCCACAGAGCCAGTAAGGGACAGAGTGAGGATTTGAAACCAGCTTTATCCTGCTCTAAATTCTTCAAAATTCGATTCTTCCTCTCTGGATCCCATAGTTCCAGCTGCTCCCTGGACATCCACGGGCAACATAAATGCAACAGAGCCAAACCCAAATTCACCAATTCCCTTCCTCATATGTTTGGGCTGAATGAAAAGAAGGAAGGAAACAAACAACAACAAAAAATAAACAAGGAAGGAAGCCAGGAAGGAAGTAAAAATCTAGCTGGGGAAATGAGGCATATGCTTCTCAGCGTATAAACAAAATAAAACAGACTACGAGAGATCCAAAAATAATATTTCTTGAAAATAAATGTTCTAGAAATTCATAAGCTACCCCTTAAAAAACAAAGCTAAAACCACTTTGGATTTTGTATTCTAAGTGTATATAGACTACCTGGGTCTTGCCAGGAACTTATGACATTTATATTGAAGACTCATCTCTCTGACAAGTCTGGCTTACTAGGTGGTCCAAAAACTGGCTTCAGAGTAAGGCAGTATGAGGAAACAGGAGTGACCAAGATAGAAAACCAAAACGCAAGTTCCCGTTTAATGGTTTTCCAATTAATGTGACTGATTCACTTTGACATTTTGGTTTTGCAATACTGTTTCACAATCTATAGGAGAATGGGCATTGCTGTGGTGATTGTCACTTGAAATTACAAAAGAAGCAAGTCTAATCTTAGTAACCAAAGCATCTTCCCTAGCTGGCTCTCTGTGTAATAGTACTTGGTGAGGAGCCTGTTCTGGTCTCTAGGAACTCATGTGCTTGGGATCCAACCAGTTTCCGCTCCCTAATTACTCACGAACAAGTACAGACATTTGAAAGGCAACCTTCTAACTCTGGGATACTTTCACTTAACTGCTAGCTTTTATAGCTATTTCTAACTAAACAGAAGGTTACCAGTAGTCCCAAGGAAAGGTATCTCAATAAAAAAAATTCCATAATTCAAGTTTTTACGTCAGAAAGAAGCAGGCTAAAATAATGGTTCTGTCACCTAATGGCTGTGACCCTGACTGAGCACGGTAATTAAACTTTCTGAGCCTCAGTTTACACAGCTGAAAATGGGAATAGTTTTATCTACCTCATAGGCTGTATTAGGCTCATACGAACTCTTTGCATATTAATGAACTATAGCAGTATCTAATTAATGCATCAGGGAATATTACACTGACCAAGAATCACCCTTCCCTTGGAGCATTTACCTTCATTAGGATTATGTCTATACTCCAGCAACCCTGGGCCACCCATCAACCCCAGGACAGCCTCTACCCGCTCCTATGACAAGGAGGGTTAGTATTTCTCTTCTCACTGCTGGAGACCAAGATCAGCTTTTGTCCTGCGGCAAGACTCACACAGAGGTTAATCCAGACTTATGTTATAAAGAGAAGGATGATTTTTTTCCAAGTCAAAGAATGACATCATCTCCCAGATCCATGGATTCCTACCTTTGGACCTGGCGGGAATCCTGACACAGGGCCATGATGGTACACAGTCCCAGGAGTGCCACGCGTGAAGGCGTGCATACGCCCGCAGGGCCAGGCCATGCTGCAGTACCCCCGGCTGGCTGCACAACTTCTCACACTAGCCCCTCACCATGTCGGGTGAACTCCGGGCGCACACTTGGGAGTTAGAATCGAGATCTCCAAATGTGTTTTAAAGAAGTGTTAATAACAGGGGAGCACCTATCTGAAAGCTGCCAAGATTAGAGGGGAGGAATCAACAAGAATGAAGGGGGAAGAAAAGGCATCTTAAGGGGATAAAAATCAACAACCAATAGAATCATCTGGTTTAGGAAAACATCCTTAGGCGCTTCAAGGGACCCCCCATAGCGGGAAAAGCATCTTGTCCGAAAGCTCTGCAGAACGGCTCATGGACAGCTGGTCACTGCCAAAATCCGGGCGGACAGCCACTGCCAAAGTTCAGCTGTGAATGCCCTGCCTTTGCCTTTCTTACCTGCAGCGTCGTGCTCTGGTCCGAGAAGGGAGAACTGAAGAAAGTGGTGACGATACTCATGACAATTTCAGTAACATACTTCTCCAAAATGGAGTCTGCATGTTTCCTGTCACTGGTGTTGTTACAGGCCTGCAAGGCAATTGGACGTTTCAGACATGACACCAAAACCTGCAGGTCAGTTGTAGGATTAAGAAATCTGGGACCACTACTGCTGATTACCCCCTTAACAAATGGAAGGTAAAGGCTTGCAGGTTGATATGTCTCCCTCTTAGAAATTACAGTAATAACAACAGTAAATCATGCAGGAAGAGAAGCTAATCCACTCAGACATCACATAGAGACACACACAACATTAAAACTGGGATGGCACCTAGAGGGCCATTGCTTCCCAATTCCTAGCCCTGTGTGGCAAATCTAAAACCTTTAAAAGGCAGCTTAAGGCATAGTCACTACAGTTATCTATACTGTCCCCTAAAAGCAAATTGTCCCCTGGTTAAGCCATTCATCTCTTGTCAGCTATGGTTTCCTATCCATGTAATCAAGAGAATCAAATACATCGGTGAGGTCCATTGTGTGTGATGCTCTCCAAATCTACAACACTCTTTCATTCAATAGAAATGTTAATATAAAGTTGTCACATCACTATGTTGTACAGTGGAACTAATGTCACATTGTGTGTCAACTAGACTTCAATTTTTAAAAAGTTAAGGATATGCAATGCTGTTGAAAGTAGTGGGCTGTAAATCAGAGTCATGGACTCTAAGTTTTGGGGTAAGAAGAGATTTCAGATTTTACTTACATTCTACTTAATTATGCTGCTTAAAATAATGTCTAATGTCTAATCAGACATTTAGAGGGAAAGGTTTAAAAAATACATGCTTAAAAATCAAGTTTTATGGGGCGCCTGGGTGGCTCAGTGGGTTAAAGCCTCTGCCTTTGGCTCAGGTGATGATCCCAGGGTCCTGGGATCGAGCCCCGCATCGGGCTCTCTGCTCAGCAGGGAGCCTGCTTCCTCCTCTCTCTCTGCCTGCCTCTCTGCCTACTTGTGTCTGTCAAATAAATAAATAAATAATCTTTTTAAAAAATCAAGTTTTATTACCAAATTCATTACTTACACAGCTTGAGACATTAACATTACTTATAAAAATTTATGAAGGGCAAAAAAGAATCAAGTTTTATTAACTAACTACCATGTTCTAAGCTTAATGCTCAGCAGTTTGTAGACAAATTCAGAAAATGAAATAAGCAACTGATTTTACATTTCTGAATAATGTAATGTAGAAGTCAGCAAAGTTAAGGGCTGATGGCTGCTTTTATAAATAAAGTTTTAGTGGAACACAGCCATGCCCACATGTATACATATTGTCATGGCTGCTTTCAAACTACCAAGGCAGAGTTGAGTAGTTGTGATACAGACCAGATGGCCCACAAAGCTAAATGTGTTTAATATCTGGTCCTTTACGGAAAACTTTGCTCAGCCTGATTCAAAAAAAGAAAGAAAGAAAAAAAGAAAAAAAAACAAAAACAAAAACAAAGCAGGGGTCCCTGGGTGGCTCAGTCAGTAAAGCCTCTGACTCTTGACTCCACTCAGGTCTTGCTCTCAGGGTCATGAGTTCAAGCCTCACATTGGGCTCCACACTGGGTATAGAGTCTATTTTTAAAAAAAAAATTTTTTTAAAGCATAAAATAAAATAAAAATAAAACAAAACATGCCTTTCTTTCCAATCTCTAAAACCCAGATTTATGGGATTAAAAGACCAGGAGGAATTTGACATTTAAAAAATATATATATGTCTGTGATACCAATACCTGAGTACTATTAAATAAAGTCCTCAATTGGGAAGAAAACAAGTTCCTATAGGTTCTTTGTCTTACACTGGTAACTGTACATTCAAGCAGAAATTATCACAGTCTAGGACTCCAGAGTGCACTTTTCTTTTCAACACGTGTCCGAAATTAAGGTTCATCTTACAATTATTCTCTCTTGGTTCCCACCACCTCTCCCCTAAATCCACCATCACAAAACTCCTAGTGTATCTATGGTGTGCCTTGTCAAATAGTAGGTCTTTCAGCCTTAAGATTAACATTAAGCTTGGAGCAAAACCAAATCAAGAGTATGAAGCCCAGTTCAATGGCTGGTCAGGAAAGCAGATCCAAAGGGAAGTGCTTCGCAGGATCCTCAACACCAGACGGAAGGAGAGAAATGCTCAAGCTTAGGACCGTGGCCTTCAAGGAGACATAGTGTCAAGGAAAAGAAAACATTTAAATCTGATTGTAGTATGTCTCAGATTTTTTAAAAAAAGATTTTATTTATTTATTTGACAGAGAGCGAGAGATCATAAGCAGGCAGAGAGGCAGGCAGAGAGAGAAGGGGAAGCAGGCTCCCCACTGAGCAGAGTCTGATGTGGAGCTCGATACCAGGACCCTAAGACCATGATCTGAACCAAAGACAGAGGCTTAACCCAGTGAGCCACCCAGGCGCCCCATGTCTCAGATTATTATTCACAGATCAATCTATAAAGGATGAAGTGAAAAGCAGAAATGATCCATCTTCCCTGACACATGATGCATAAAATGTATTCTCTGTTAGGAGTAAAAAGTAGAAAGGAATGAGACATATGCGAGGCCAAGAAACACATCTGCCACCCTGTGCCACACATTAATGAGTTGAAATTATGTGGCTATTTCCCTTAAGCCTGCATAAGGATGTCCAGACACACACGTACACACACACTTCCGCTCTGCTGCTCAGTTCCAGAGAGCCTTACCCTGCAGATGTCCACGAGGAAATTCTCAAACAATTTCCACATGTGATTGCTGGTGTAAATCTCCTTCATTTCCACCTCCGTATCCACATAGCAGTGATTAAGGAAGTTAATGTATGCAATTTTAACCTGAAGACAGAAACAGCCTTCTCTGAAAAACCGATTTGGTATACATGGAATAAGAGAAACGTAAATCAAAACTATGTTAGAACACTCTTTTCACCTATCAGAAAAGAGTCCAGAAGTCTAAGTGGACAAGGCTGTGAGAAAAAGGCAATCTTGTCATTTCCTCTTTCACGAGAATCACCAGTTATTATCATCTCATTATAGTCTCATAAGCCTGTTAAACAGCCATGCAGGGCAATTACAGAACATCCACACAATAAAATTTTTATGTAACTATAAAAAAGGAATGTGGAATCTCTTTATGAACTGATACAAAAAGAAGAACAGTGTATCCAGAATGTCACCTTTTGTATTAAAAAAAAATAAAAAGGGCATGGGGGAATGAAGAACATATATTTACATTTGTTTATATGCAGAATTCTAGACAATGCACAAGAACATAATAAATGATTTTCTGTGGGGTGGGAGGGAACAGATTAGGAGAATTTTCATAGTTTAATCCTTTATAGTCTCTGCTATTTGAACTTTTCAAAAAAATCATCTAAAAACATACTAGCATAGATATGATACATACTACATATACTATATACAAATATATGTATATTTAGTTTAAGATAAAAATTAAGAGTGTATATTTTAAACATATAAAGCCAAACTATATTCTGGATGATCCACTGTTTTTCTGTCATTTTTGTTACCAGCCAATATATATGAACAAGAAAATGGACAGCTTAGAAGGAATCATTTTCAAAATCGAACAGTTATTTATTATGGGTGGTGGATTTTCATACTGCTTATCTGTAGTTCCTCAATATTTTATAATTGTCATTATTGTTATAATACAAATTTTCATTTTAAAGAATAAACTTGCAGAATCGGGTCTTCTGTGCCCATGAACCATATCTCAACCCATTCAATCTCATTTTTTCAGACATTCATTCAAAGGGGATTCAAAGAATCCTCTTTGCTCAACAGGCTGTTATTAGTTACCAAGAACAGAAGCACAGCAGCAGATTCCCATGGTTCTCAAGGAGACAGCAGACATCCCCCCACCGACAAGCTTTATGTACAAAATCAGCATTCAAGAAAATGTTGTTTCCACCAACTGAGACCTCACTATGAAATGAGCTGCAGGTCTCAGCACTGTGAGGTCTCGTGTGGGCCGGCCACAGCTCCACACGCACCATGCAGAGGCATGAGAAAGGCTCACTCACCTCGGGGATGCAGTCCTCGTGGGTCACGACGCGGACGATGTCATCCAGCGGCAGCAGGGAGTTGCACTTTATCTCCGTGTAGACGTTCTTGCCCTCAGTGCACACGGCCAAGAGCTCCACCAGGTGGATGTGATACATAAGAGGGCTGTTCTCGTCCATCCGGTCCCGCTCTGACCTCATCATCTGGATCAGGGTCTGGAAAGAGGCTCTGTCGTTGTAGAACACGAGGACGTCTTCTCCCGAATTAACGAGCTATAAAAAGAACAGGGCTTGTTTATATTACAGGCTTGCGGAGGTGGGGACACCATTAAAAAATATCTACTTGCAGCGAAGGAGAGCTGCTTTGTCAGCGTTTGCTTTCCAAAACCAGTCTCACCTTTATTACTAAACTCATCTAAATTTCATTCACTTCTGTTAATCAATAACTAAAAATCGGCAGCAGCAGCACTTTAATAGACAGATACAGGTATATGACAGTGGCCTTAAACAAAACTACCAGGGGAAGAGAAAGTCTGCAGAACCACATTCACATATCCAGTGGAAATGAAGATTGCAAGCTTGCATGTGGTTTTCCAAACCTAATATTTAGGCTATGATTTTTCTTTTCAAAAATGTTTCCATCGGGGCACTTGGGTGGCTCAGTGGGTTAAAGCCGCTGCCTTCGGCTCGGGTCATGATCTCAGGGTCCTGGGATCGAGCCCCGCATCGGGCTCTCTGCTCAGCGGGGAGCCTGCTTCCCCCTCTCTCTCTGCCTGCCTCTCTGCCTGCTTGTGATCTCTCTCTCTGTCAAATAAATAAATAAAATCTTAAAAATGTTTCCATCTTTTTTATGCTTGAGAAGTAGTATCCCTTTTACAACGTTTTCATATACTGCCTCCTCTCTTCACAATTATCAATTAACCACTTCTTACTAAGGTATGTCTTCCTTTCAATACTCCTTCAAAGAATCAAGGCATTCCTACTTATAACTTGCCCCCAGGACTGTGTGTGTGGCTTCTCATAAGTCCACTTAAGGGTAAATCAATTTCAGGAAATACAGAAGATCCAAAAAGGGCTGGCACAGAAGTCAAAATACATATAGTCCATAATATCTGTGTAATAACAACTCACTTCTGTCAGCTCTAATTAGATACCATGACCAACACTCCACATGGATCTAACCTCACTGTGCCTCAGTTTTGCCCATAAAACTGAGGACAAAATTGATACCTAACTCACGGTGCTGCGTCCTGTAGATGAAATAAATGATTATATGTAAATTGCTTAGAACCATGACTAGGGTATGGCAGGCTTCCAACTAATGTTAGCTCCTATTGTCACCATCGTTCCCCTGAGCTGGCATGTATGCTTCTTGGCTGAATACCACCGTGCCTTCATTTTATAGGAAGGCTCGCTGAGGGTTGGCAAGTCATCAGGTCACTGTGGCAATAAAGTAGTATAGCTTACATTCATATCCCAGGTCAAGTCAATTCTTTTAAACACACTACACTACCTTCCACTGGAACCCTGTTTCTTATTAAATGGGAATTATAAATCCAAGTGTTAAGTGGATTTACTTGATGTTTCATTTTTTCAACAGGTGGGAAGATTCAACTGAGTCTATTTGAACACAGGTGTGGCAGAGGGCCTTCCCGGTCAGACAGCATCCCATATGGCCCTGACTGCCCACAGACAACCCAGTGGGACTTAGTCCCAATTCCACTGACCAGCTTCTTCCCGTGAATCAGCAAGCAACAATTTTTCTAGCTAGTTAAGTGAATAATTAAAGAAACTGTCATATAATCCACAGGAATGTAGGCTGTTCTGGCTCAGTGGTTTCTATCTATATTTAATCTCTATTCTTTGTAATTTTTGTTCAATATTCCTATTTTTTTCTCCTCTCAGAAGAATCTGAGCCAAAATGCCTTAAAATAAATAGATTTGCTGCTATGAAAAAATCAGATCAGACTCTCATTTCTACATACAATTTAAGCTCACAAATACACACCACAATTACATTTTGTCCATTTATGTGGCTCCAGGAGAGGGTGCCAGTTCATACAGATAGCAAGAATTTAAAAATTTGCCAGAAACTCTAGATGAAGGTATATAGAAACAAACAGCTGTCACCTCAGCCATGACCATGTCTTGGCACTTTTTGATGAATTTCCCTTCTGCCTTGACGATCGTCTGCAAGAATTTTATGTACTGGACGTTTCGACCGTGGGTCTCAATGCAATGAACAAAATGCTGGACAACCCGCTCGTTGATCTCACTGCAGAGCTGGAAATTGTTCATGAAGATGTGCTGCATGGTGACCGCCTCCAGGATCTGGCACAAGAGTGAGGGCAGGAGCACAAGGAAATGGTCAAGAGGTGGACAGAGCTGAGTCAAGTGAGAAAGAGAGTCTAGCAATATGCACAGAGAGAAGCGTTGAAACCCACAAAGAGACCTTTCTCCTTTCTCACTTCTGTACTGCCTTCTTTTGTAAGTTGTAATAAACACACGGAAAGGGAAACGAATCACTTGTCTCCAGCTCAATGAACTACACGGGAAACCCCAGCACCCACGTCAAGAAACAAAAGGTCTCGCCCCCCGATTTAACTCGTTTTGTTTTCTGCAACTACAGATTAGTTTTGCCCGCTGTCAAGCCTCATGTACTCCCTCCCGTCTGGTTTCTTTTACTCAACAGTCCAACTGCAACGCTGTCAACATGCTGTTGTGTGTTATCAGTAGTCGGTTCGTGGTCACTGCTATGTAAATTCCATGGCATGAATAAACCACCATGTGCTTCTCTGTTCTATTGCTGATGGGCATTTGGGGGCGGATCCAGTTTCAGTAGCAAGCAGTAACACTACTCTTAGTACAAATAGTGCTGCTCTGAGCATTCCTGAACATGTTTTCCGCTAAGCTTTAATATACGTGCATTTCTGTTGGGTTTCCACCCATGAGTGGAATTGCTGGGTTGCAAAGTACAAGCGTTTGGCTTGAGACAGTACTTGCCAACAGTTTTCAAGAGATGTTAACAATTTCCATTCTACACTAGAGCTTTTCCATACCCTAGTTGAGTTATAGTATTGTTGGTCTCTTTGGTTTTTGTCATACTTTGTTGTGCAAATCTTAGCTAATTTACACTTCTCTGATGATCACTTTGTCTCATTTACTGGCTATCGGGATTTCTTCTATGGATGATTTCATTATAAACTTTTTTTTAACTTATTTTTAAAAATAGGTCGTCCTTTGGGTAATGGACATTGGGGAGGGTATGTGCTATGGTGAGTGTGGTGAAATGTTTAAGCCTGATGATTCACAGACCTGTACCCCGGGCAAATAATACATTATATGCTAATAAAAATAATTTTAAATTGAGTTGCCCTTTTCCTTATTGACTTTTTTTGAGTTGGTTATATATTCTAGATAGGAGTTCTTTATTGGACACCTGTAATGCAAATGTCCTCTCCCCACCTCTGGTTTGCCTCTGGAGGATCTTAATAATGTCATTTGGTGAATAGAAGTTTTTAAAGAAGTCTGGTTTACTGATATTTTCCTTTGTAATTAATGCTGCTTGTATCCTATGTAAGAAAATTTCACTTTCCACTAGGTCATCAAGATATTTTCATGTTATCTTCCAGAAGATTTATTTTCTATTTTCTACGCAGTTAAGTTTTATGTTTGGTGTGAGGTAGGGGGCTCTAAACTTTTTATCTTTTGTCTTTTCTTTCCCCATACATAACAAAGAGGAAGTATTACCCCTCAGCCTTCCAGTCCTCTCCTCCAAAGCTTTAGGAGTACTAATGAAGGGGCGAGTGTGCGTGTATTTACAAGGATATCCTTTGTAGAATTATTTACAAGTCAAGAATTAGACATTGCCTCAATGTCCACTAATATGAGAATGATTTTTAAAATGTTACAGCCATACTATGGAACGCCATGTAGCCATCACAACATCTCATCAAAAATGAGAAAAATTTATGTAGCTGTGACTTGCAAAAACAGCCATAGTATTAAGTGAAAAAAGCAAAATGCAAAATATAGAGTATGTCACCATTTTTCTTTAAAAAACTGCACAATACATATTTTCAAAACATATCTGACAAACTAAGATATGACAGTTATGTTTTATATGAATAAACTATGTATTTGTATATTATGTACACAGAAAACTTTATGCATGACCTCAGGAGGATGTGGCTAGAGACTGACAATCAGCAAGTCTCTAGGGCTAAAATTTGATGTAATAAAGAATGTTAGGAAAAAATATATCTTACCTTGCCCTACCACTTCCTCCTCCCTTTCCCTGCTTTCTCCCCTAAAGAGATGGGGAGTGTTGATGTCCTCCTGAGAGTTGGTCCAAATGTTCCTCTTAGAATGAATGTCGCATTATAACAAGTCCCTGTGGTCACCACAGCAAAAGAACAAGCTGTTCTTCTTACTGCTTCCTGCCCTCCCCTCACAGATTTCCAGACATGCCTGAGGTCTTACCCCTGGGTTGAGAAACAGGTTTATGTGTTTGTGTAGCAAGGCTTGATTCTGCTGGTTGCCTGCACAGAAATTCTGTAGGAATTCGTGAGCCAGCCTCATTATCTCCTGCATCTTGGTATCTTCAGCCTGTGTGGAAGGAGGCAGATGAATAATAGGTTGAAAATAGGGCTATGCTGTGGACAAAAGGTCAGCAGGTGACAGCACCTACCTTTCCGCCAGGAGACCCGGTTCTATGACACGCTGAAGGCCTGTTGTGTGAAAATATGGGGGTGCTGCATTGATGACACTGCAAAGAAGCCTGTAACTAATTCAACTGTCCTATGTTCTTTTCCACTAGCCACAAGCAGATACAAAAAGAATTTATTTGGGAAGAGTACAACACAGAGTGGAAGCCATTTCTAGCAATGCCCCAAATTTCTGAAAGCACCCCCAATCCTGAGAGCAGAGTGACAGCACAGCAACAGCCGACTGCATCACTGGTGGTGAGCCCACACCGCCCCAGCTCTCGGGCTCACCCTGTTTAATCTGCCAAACGTAAGCGTGCATTAGAGCTCTTGGCAGGAGAGAACATGTTAGAGTAGAAATCTCTTTAGATTATAAAATCGGGCAAATACACCTGCCGTAATCCTGTCCTTGTCACCTCAGCCTCAGCATTTAACCCAAGAGTTAGTTTTCCCATCTGCAAAATGGGGATAATACCTGCCCCAGGCATTTCACACAGCTGATTAAGTGGTTCTCATTTCCTACAGTAAAAACCCACACTCGGTGTTTTTTAAGCATTAGATGCCCCATGATAAGACGACTGATTACACCCTACTGCCATTCTACCCAATTCTAAACAAACCAACCTTTAATATAATAAAAATGAAGGAGAATGAAATGGAATCATCCCTCCTATTTGTATAGTCAACAGTAACCTCCCTAAGTCTTCTCACTTATATGACCTCTTTCGAGCAGCCAAGAGCCTAACAGTTAGGAAGGCAGGCCCTAAAACCTGACTGCTTAGGGCTTATGCAGATCTACCACTCCCTAGCCATGTACTTAAGCATTCAGGGTCTCCGTCTCCTCCTCTGTGAAATGGAGGCAATAAAAATGCACACTTCATATGGTTGTCGTGAAGATTCAGTGACAAAATCCATGTCAAGTGCTGAGACAGTTATCACACAATCAACGTTAGCTACTGGTTCTGGTCTAGACCAGGGGTCAGATAGATACTTTGGGTTTTGTGGGTCAAAAAGCAAAAGAGAGAACATTTTGCAGGTACCACTAAGAATGTAACTATTGAAAAATGGAACAATCATTCTTAGCTAATATGTTGTATAAAAACAGGTGGTGGGTTGGATTCGGTTCATGTCTTCAGTTGGCTCCCCCTGATCTAGATAATAATCCTGGGAGAAAACAGGACACATCTGGGCAGAACAACTTACAGAAGGAATCTGAGCTACCAGCTTTAACAATCAAAAATGGGCAAGGTTAAGAGGAGTCCCATACAACAGAGTGGATATTAACATTTGTCTCTCATTAACAGAGAAAGTGGCATGCCTTCCAGCTCTAAGAAATCAGAGGCCTTGGGACAGAGAGACACTGCTGGCTGGCAGCCGTAACCTCAAACAGTCCCACACTCTTTCACTTCTTTGCTAAAAGGAGAATCTGCTGGGGCTCACAGAAACTACAAACTTCATCATTTGAAATGGATTTTTACAAGGCAGCTAAGCTCTAAAGACATCACATAACAAGAGCGTATCTGTAGGAATTCCTCCACTGTTTTCCCACACTGGGATATCTGTACTCATGGAGTAACACACACACACACACACACACACACTGTTCTCCCACCAATTCCAACCACATCAGGTTACCTGTTTTTTCCATTAACACTACTCTATGAAGGCATATATGTTTTCAAGGAAACTGAGGATATTAGGAGGCAAAGACAAGGCCAGCAAACTACCTCCTCATACTCTTTACACATAGCAAGGTAAATCAGCTTGCCAGTTCTAGCCTAAATGCCAGTCAAGTGAGGATGACATGCACACTTGTACTAATTTCAGGTTAGTTAAGTTCCTGACCTATTGGAGGGATTAATCTTACACTTTATGGGTAGCTACTGAAAGGCTTGATGAACCTGAATCCTGTGGCCCCCGTGACTGCGGTGGTGGCCTCTGCCAAGAACTTCCTTGAGCACAGGCAGCTAGTGTAGCAAACAAGACCTGGGCTCCACAACTGAGCAGGGCTGGCTCTGTCATGTTGCTGCGCTGTGGAGGAAACGTATGGAACCTCTGGCAACGGCCTTCTCATCTAAAGCGGGGCTCTTAAAATTATCACCTGTCTCATGCGCTGTCTTAAGGATGAAGTGAACGAGTGAACAAAAGGACCTACTGTAGTGCCTGGCCCCCGGCAAGCACAAGCAGTGAGGCTTCTTCAGGCAACTCAATGCCAGCAAGGTTTTCTGGCAGTCACTGGTAAACTCAAGCGGCAGAAGTCCACGCCCTCGGGTTCTAAACCTCCCCAAGCCTCAGTCTCCTCATCTGTCAAGTGGGAACACCATGACAATGGCACTGGATTTTGGAAGCGAAGGGACAGGGCTTTTGCAAATGCCCTGTCAGGCTGCACAGTGCCAAGCACTATTACCCTGCTTCCCTAAATCCTATCACTGTCAATGACAAATGCTGGCATGAAAGGATGGGACAGAGCGTGTAACTTCTCATGAGAGAAAAGAGGACTTAGAGCAACATACAGGATAGACCCAAATACTTGGCCAGATGTCAGAACGCACCTGAGGACCCCCAAAGTGGGCAAGCCCCACGTTCCCACATGTGTTTAGAAACCTGTAGGGCTTAAACTGCCTGCAGGGCATTTGCAGAGGATGCTGGAGAGCACGAGCCTGTGCGCAGAGCTCCGTCTAGCCAACCTTCACATCCAGCGTGGTGTGGGAGCAAGGCGAGAATCAACGGGCTCCCGCTTAGAATCTTAGAACTGGAGGCAGGTTATGGGTGATTTCACTTTATGAAGCTGTTTGTTTCATACGAGTGACCTACAAGTGCCTCGCACTCAGCTCATCACATCGGCTTCATGTCTTCACCAACACCACCAAATGTGAAGGGCTGAGGAAAACTCGGGGACCCGCCGCCCTCTGGGGAGGGGGACCGGCTCACCTTCTCGTAGGGGATCTGCAGCAGCTCCAGCACCACGGCGTGCGCGCCCATGTTCCGTAGAAGCCGCTGCTGCTGCTTCCTGCTTTTCCTCACGGATGCACTCTCCTGGACACAGAGTTTGCTGAGGCGGATCAGAATCTGTCCGAGAGAGAGATCCCAAGTTTGTACCTCTGACCAAACCTCAGCTCTGAGCTCCAGTGTACAGCAGCGTGACAACATGCAATAAAGGTGTATGTACATGCGAAATTTGCTGAAGCAAATCCCAAGTGTTCTCACCGCCTCCAAAGAGCTAGCTCTGCGAGGTGACGCATGTGTTAACTGACTTGACTGTGGTCGTCATCCCACAGAGTATGTCTATCAAATTACTGCATGTCATGTTTTAGTGAGATTACAATTTTTGTTTTGGGTCAATTACGCCTCAATAAAGCCAGACAAAATGAAAGAAATCAACCTCCGAAAACTAGGAAGCACAACTGAGAAAAAAAAAGCCGTAAGTGTTGGTCGTGGGCAGGGAGGCAGAAGTGATCACAGCATATTAAAACACCCAAAACGAGGGAGATCGCGCTCTGATATGCAGTATTCTTGTTAATCACATCAAACTGAATCGCCATGTGGCTAAGAACATGCCCTTCCAGAGGATGCAGTGGATTAAGGCTTCAACCCGAAGTGGGACAGTTTCAGAAAGATCTCCTAAAATGATGAGACTCAGCGTCATTGCCAGGGACTCGAGAAGACTGTGCTCTGGGGGTAAAAAAAAAAAAAAACCACAAAGCTCCCAACCTCCCAACTTTGAACCACCTTATGCAAAGATCTCTAAAGAACTAGAGCCCTCAGGTGGACACTATGTGCCAGCCACTGAGATGGAACTTTGATGGTTTTATCAATTAATCCTCTGGTCAGTTATAACCCTTCAGAAATATAGGTGTTAACTGCACTGATCAAAAGTGAGAAAATTGAGGATAAGTAAAAAAAAGAAGTTGCAGAGGATGATTCGAACCAAGATCTGACCCTAAAACCCATGTATGTAACCTCTGCGAGCTTCTTTCGCCCTGTCAAACTTTACATGAAAGAAAAAGCTGAAGTGTTTGCACCTTCAACCTCACTATCACAGACCGTAGCTCCTAGGAGAGGTAAGCAGGCAGGAGGGCCACTTACCTCTTTTACCACCCTGTAGTTGTAGCTGCTGGTGCTCTCATGCTTTTGTGACTTGTTATTCCCGTCCTAGAGACCAAAATAAACGTAAGTGTGGTTTGTTTGGCCCTTGGGCAATAGTCTGTTCGTTCGGCTTGGCATCGGCATTTAGGAAGCAATGAGAGTTTGGCAGTTTTCCTATCGTCATGCTGGGGTTCAGCCCGACTCATTCAGATTGATGTGATTTCACTGATGTGGGAGAGGATTGAGGAAGGGGTGCAGCCTACTGAGAACAGGTTCTTTCCCAGGTGGGTCTGCAAGGGAAAGCTGGTGCTCATCCTCTCAGCAACAAAGTCTACTCCCCACGGTCCAAGGTGACACAGAAGAAGTAGCTAAAGTTCCATTTTTCAGCTTATTTCCTAGGAGAATAGCTGTTACTTCGGCTACTTAACAAGCTAATCTCTTGTGAATAACGCTCAACCCACAATCTGCGCTTTTTCCTAAAACCAGAGGAGGATATCCCCTTGTTGGAGGAGCCCATCCATCTGCAAGGATGGTGTGAGCCTCGTCTCACCCACCTCTGTTTTCTTATGTTCATTTTCACCAGAGGCACCGTCCATGGCCTCATCAGGGCCCTGCCCTTTGTACACCCAGAGCTCCGACTTTTCCACGATGGATCTCAGCTGGTCCAAGTCTTGTTTGATCTGTTTGTAGTTGTCCACATCTTGGCTGGTAACAAGCAGCTGGACCTGAACAAAAGCAACGGGTCAGGGGTGACAACAGCCTCTCGGAAAGTCACACGGAAAACAGTAACAACACCACTAAACACACACACACACACACACACACGAATGGCAACCCTAGCTACCTGTTTGAAGGCCTGCAGGACCTCCTGCCTCTGACTGAAGTGCCGGAAGAGGAGCTGCAGGGCTCCCGAGACCAGGGGTGGGTAGTCGTGCATCGTCAAATGCAGCAAGACTCGGAGGAAGGTTCTGCCGCCGTGGTCGTCCAAGTCCAGGGGGGTATTCTCCTCACTAAAGGAGCACATGGAAGGGGGAAAGACAGATGAGCCACAGAGGCCCTTCTCTCACGTGCTCAGACCTGGACACACCCACCAGTGAGAGTCCTCACCCCACAGCCAGCCTCGGGGGACTTGAGTTTTAACAAGCCCCCCTAACAACGCAATCTTGTTTTAACTTCCGCTACATTGTAAGGTGAGGGGACAATGAAGATCTCACCACTGTCCGATTTTAAACCAAGGTCCCTACCCTCCCACAGTGACAGGACCTAGCTTTTTTCTCCAGATTCTCGACTCCTCGGTTTTAGTGCTCTTCTGCTGGGTTTCATCTACAGGCGGAGGACTGCACACAGTTGTGTTTGTCCTAAATCAGGTGTTTACTTTTTATGGAAGATGCTGTAATTCAATGCCTACCAAAGGACTAGTTGCATTTACTTCCACTTTACAGCTAACTGATGAGGTAGTCCGTATCAGGTCCCCTGATCCCACACGTGGCTGTGGCAGCATCGAGTCACCATAAAAGTGTCCCAGTGATTACTCCTGTGCTCTGAACTTCTCGGGTCACAAACGTGGAACAAGCAGTCTGCAGACCCCACTTTGAGGCGTGCTGCCATGACCCATGACGACGCGGTGTGCTTCAAACTGAGGTCCATTAGCAAACTGTCAGGAGTTATCTCTGTATCTATTTTAACTGTGTGTCATTTAAATAATTAAAAAATTAATAAGCGTGTCCTGGATCAGATGGCAGACCGCCGCCTACCTGAGCATTGCTCCATTGCTGTGTCAGTGCCCTGCTATGTTGTGTTACCATCAAATGAATGCCAAATGGTGGGAACTTCATGCTTGCAGGTTAGCAAGAAAAGCACAGAGGGGATTTCACAGGATGATACTCTGTTCAGGCTACATGCTCCAAAAAGTTGTGAAGACAGTGTTACTACTGTGCAACAGTAGAAAATGATGGGAAAGAAAGAAAATGATGGGAAAAGAGTGTCATCATGATGAACTCAACATCCTCTGTGTTCCAGAAAAACATCTTTTATCGTAGTAAATAATATTGCTAATTTAAATTTCACAGGTTTTACAGTAAGTGCTGGGGTAGACTGCTAACATTGGTACCCGCCCCCAACAAAAGAGACCTTCGTGGTATAGACATCCTTTTGTAGGCCCCTCCTCCACTGACACTGGGCTCAGCCATGGGATCTGCTTTGACCAATAGGATATTAGCAACACAATACAAGCAGAGGCTCGAATTGTTGTATGCTGTTGGCCTTTGCACTTAGAGCCAGTCACCGAGCTACAAAGAAGCCTAAGACGGTCACGTGTAGAGAGAGAGGAAGGGAGGGAGAAATAGAGTTCCTAGCCTTAAGATATTCCTACCACAGAGACAGAAATGTGAGTTAAGAAGCTTGCGTGTGCCAGCCCCAATCACCAGCCCCAACCAACTCAACAGTGACCAGCAGATGAGCCGTCCAGCTGAGCCCCAGCCAACCCACTTAATTATGAGAGGCAATAAAAAGACTATTTTTTCAATCCACTAAATATATGTAGTAAGTTACACAGCAATAGATAAGTGAACGAGTATGTGTATGAAAAGAACCATGTGGGAGACACCCGGGTGGCTCAGTCGGTTAAGTGTCTGCTTTCAGCTCAGGTCAGATTCCAGGGTCCTGGAATCAAGACCCACATCAGGCTCCCTGTTCAGTGGACAGTCTGCTTCTCCCTCTCCCTCTGTCTCTCCCCCTCCTCATGTTCTCTCTCTCAAACAGATAAAAATCTTAAAAAAAAAAAAAAAAAAGACTATGTGCACAGGGTATTTATATGAATTTGCGGCTATTCGAGTCTTGTAGGTATTTGAGTCTCATAATAATGTTTTATGTCATCATTGAGTAATCTGATCTTTTAAAAAAGGGATCATACATTCATCTAATGTTGGGGACAATGTGTGTTTCTGTTATTGTTGCACGGACAAAAACGGCAATCCACCAGCAGCAGAAACACATGACCTTGATAATCTCACTTTGTTTTCAATCCCCTCTTTTTTTCAACCTATTTTGCACCATTAAAAAAAAATATTTTAATATGTGTATTTGGGAAAACCTACATTCCTTCTATCCCAAGCAGGAAACACATGAACATACACACACACACACAGAGAACCAACTAATATCATTCTGACCTGAGCACTAAGGGTTACAAATAGAGCCAAAAAATAACCTAAACCCAAGACTAATTGTTTCCTAGAAAAATGAAGGAAAAGCCTTTACACAAAAGGAGGCTTCCTACTCCTAGAACCACCCATAAAATTGAACACTGAAATTTTACTTTCCTTCCTCCAAAGATGCCTTCTGCTTGCTCTTCAATGTGTTCAAAGTCAAGAGTACCTAAAAAGACAGAGAATGTAGTTTCAGATGTAGAAAGGTCTAAAAAAAAAACAGGCTGTTGGGTGAACTTTCCCAAAAATGGCCTTGCCCCATGCCTAGGTTAACCTCAAGTCTCCCAGAATCTTATCTTGCAAAGCTGTGCAGCCAGGTCAACCCAGATCACACTGTCCAGTGGCTCTGGTGTGCACTGCTCTACATTCCTGTCAGTCTTCTACCTGCTCATGATCCCCTTAGTAGAGCAGAGTGATGACCCCACGCCAAGGCAGCTCAGGCCTTAACAGGTGGGATTATGTTCCCCACTTCCACCTTCCCCAGTACCCTTCATCATTATTTTCTGGGCAGGGAAAAACTTCCATTATGAGTAAAAGTTGCTAGTGGACAAAACATTTTCTTAGAGGGTTTTGTTTGCTTTTATTGGCATTTCATGTAACCACAACACTACAACCCTCAGCTGTCTTATGACGAAGACACTCCAAGATGGAAGGAAACAAGACCTAACCCAGAAGAGATCAAAACTCTTTCAATTATTCTTCTGTTCAAAAAGGGTAACTCCAAGAATTTCATTCTCCACTATAGTAATCTTCAAAATATTCATATTTTACCCTTCCTGTAGTAAGTACTGTTGGAATCCCCAGTATTTTTATTAGACCACACCCCACTCTACAGCTGAAATCCCATTGTGGAATCACTAACCTGGTACGTTACTTGGCCCCTCTTGGCTGCTGTTTCCGGAGGATGTTTCCGAAGTCTGGGAATTGCTTTCATCAAACTCTCGCTTAAATATACACAGGAGGCAGGAGATCCTATAATCCAACCTCACATTCAAAATAAACTAAAGATTCAAGTGGAAATGGAAACAGATCGGTTACATTAGCATACCACCTGTGACACTTTGCCAAGCCACTGCACTCTGGCTGGGCCTGGTAACTGTTGCATCAATTAGCTTAAGCACTAAGTGAGCCAAATATTTGGCTTAGATTTCAACAATTACTTTAACAACAGACTTCCATGGGGTATATCAAACCTGTCCACAGCACCTTAGCTTCCAGTGCAAACTTCAACATCCAGACAATTAATTTAGTAATTGTAATAATAAATCACTCACTCCCTACTCCATCCTCTATAAAACATTACTTAAGCAAGTAGTAAATGCCAATTCTGGGCCCTGAAAATGGTGAAGCTGGCTGCTTTAATTTAAAAGAATTAACAGAGAAAAATATGTTTTTACTACTAGAAACTAGCTTGGTCTGTATTTTTTAATTACAGATGGTTTCCTCTGATTTATTATCAACCCTTGGGTTCCCTCTTCATTCACTTCTTACATTCCCTTGCCCTCTACTCTGAAGCAAGGTTACCTTTTCCTGGATTGTTGCTAGAGCCACCCCCCCCCCCCCCCCCCCAAAAAAAAAAAAAAAACCACCACTTGGCCTTACTTGAGGACCTTAACTAACATTCTCCCTTCCATTCTCTCCCCATCTCTGCCTTGCCTTCTTGGTGACCTTACCCAATCCCAGGGCAGTCACCTCTCCCAGACTGAGACACTACCTTGGCTTTACTTCAGAGATGCTGGTCATTGTTTCCTACTGACTACTGGACATCCCATTTGGGGTCTTTCCAGAGTCTAAAACTCAGTATTGTATAAAACAATGTCAATCCTGCCCAGGTTCTCTCAGTCAGCCTCAGGAACATCGACTCCTCCTTTCCTGAGTCACACATCTAATCAGAGACAAAGTCCTCTTGGTTCTGCCTCCACCACTTCCCCTGCATCTCTTCCAACTATCACTTGCCCCTGCTCCCATCCTCCTTCTCTTCTGCCTTGTCATCATCAAATCCACCTCCCACAGGCACTCATTCTTATGTCAGTCCCCTGTATAAAAATCTTCAAAGTCTCACCACAGAATAAAGTCCTACCACTTGAGGCACCTAGAGCTCTCTAGAATCTGGTCCGGTCCTCCTTTCCGATCTCATTTCTGACAAACTCCATTCCACACATTCCAGGTCTCTGCCCAAGGAGGAGATGCTACTGGCCTATGTGATGTCATGCCCTCGTCCAACCTGGTCCAAGTTCAAGGGGACTTGAGTATGTTCCCTGTTTCTATACTATAAATCCTGTCCAGGCTTAAAAGCGCAGATGAAATCCTACCTCCTCTGTAAAATCCTTCTCTGCTGCTTACTAAATGAGATCACATGATCCACCCCTGTGTCCCAGGAGAACACTTTCCTCAGAGTTTTATTTCCTTATTTTCCTATCAGACTGTAAATCACCTGTGGATATAGTCTCTGTCCAAATCATCTGTGCAAGAGGGGGTATAGCTCAGGGGCTGAGCATTTGACTGCAAATCATCTGTGCATTCCTCCTAGTGCCCCAAGTGCCTTGTGTATGGTAGGGGCTCAGCAAGTATTTAGTGAAACAATGATTCCACTGACCAACTGTTCTAGGATGATGACAATGAGAGGACCTCAAAGTGTGATCGAGGTTTACACTATATCACTGCCGACACACAGTCATGATACTAACATACTTGGGACACATAAGCCATAGCCGAAAAAGTCCTTCTCAACTTTTGGTCAGGCAAAAATTCAACGATGTTTCTTCTGAGTCATTCTCTATGGCCTTAACTATTTGAGGACTCTCATGAATGGTTTCAAACTACTGATAAAATGTGATTTCAGATTCAAAATACAAATTCTTAAATTTATAAACATTGGTAATCACCTACTACATGTTCTAGGGTTGGCATTAGGCAGCACTGGATAAAAGAAAAAAAGTGATAACAGTATTCTTTTCATTAAGGAGCAAATGATTTTAATGATGAATAAAAATGACCTATGAGCAGAAAGGGGAAAGCACAGGAAGGTTCTCGTACCCTGTCTCCAGCAGAATGGGTCCCCTACCTCCTTTTGCCCATGCAAGGTCTTTACTCCCACTGTTCACTCCTCTCTCCTATGTCAACAACTTGCCCGCTCTACTGACCATTCCATTCCACATACAAACTTGCCATAAATTCCCAACTTAAAAAAATAAAACAAAAACTTCCTGTGACCAACAATCACCCTTCAGACACCTCCCCATTTCTCTGTGCATTTTGTAGCAAGTCCACTCAAAAGAGTTGTTTGTTCTTACTCCCCCTAATTCATCTTCTCCTGTTCCCTCTTGAACCCAACCAATTCCCAAACCTGCCAAGTATACTCCCACCTCAGGATCTTCCTCCTGCTATTCTCTTTGCCTACAGGGTTTTCCTAGATACCCACATGCTAGCTTCCTCGCTTCATTCGGGTTTCTGATCCAGTCACCTTACTAGAGAGGCCACATCTGAAAACCCATCAAAAACAGTATCCCTGATCCCCACCTCCTGGTGGCCTTCAAACCATCCTGGCCCTCCTCTAGATTTTAGCATCTTTAACACTTACCACTATCTGACATAGTACACCTGCTGTTTAATATGCCTATGACTCCTACCAAAATGCGGGCGCTTTAGACACAGGAATTTAATCTATGCTGTTCAGTGTTGGATCTGTGATGCTTAAAAGTACTTGGCACAGAATCAGTTTCAATAAATGTGTGTTGAATAAATGAACGAAAAGGGAAGGGAGGGAGGGAGGCAAGCGTTGCCAAGTTAATGGAGGCTTAAACTAGTTATGAATGATAAGCAAGGAATCCAGCTTTATGTAGAAGCCTAACTAAGTGAATTAGCTTGGGTGAAGACACAGAGGGCAAGGATTATGAAAACCTAAGGTAATTTACAGGAAATTCTGTCATGGCTGGAGGGACCAGGGCACTTTGGGAAGGGGTATGAGATGACAGTAGACAGATGAAGACAGCTGGTTCATGAATGGCACTTAACAACGAGCTAAGAATTTATCTCCATTCTCTCCCCAGAAAGTCTAGGGCTTTATAAAAGCAGGGATACAGTCCCAATGGCAGCCCTATAAGCACACCCCTTCCACCTCTGGCTGACAGTTACCTGAAGTATTTCGATGATCTTCAACTTGGTGTCCATGACCATGATGTCCTCCTTCTCTGGCTCTGCCTGCTTCACGTTGCCCTCAGGGGCAGCAGCCATGGGAGTCATGGGTAAAAAGCCTCCTCCCCGGAGCACCACCTGGGTCATCAGCTCTCCGACCCCATGGATGGACCGCATTACGTTACTGCCTAGGAAGGGCCAGCACAGACCTCAGTCACGACACATTCTAGGAGAGTGCTCTGAGGTGCCTGGCAGGGGGCACAGGCTGGAGACATAGTACTGAACATGTCTCTGCTCTGACACATTCTCAGGATCCCAGGAACTGGAAAAGGTTAATACCCATCAAAAATTTGGGGATTCAGGGGACGCCTGGGTGGCTCAGTGGGTTGAGCCTCTGCCTTCAGCTCAGGTCATGATCTCAGGGTCCTGGGATCGAGCCCTGCATCGGGCTCTCTGCTCAGCAGGGAGCCTGCTTCCTCCTCTCCTCTCTCTCTCTCTCTCTCTCTGCCTGCCTCTCTGCCTACTTGTGATCTCTGTCTGTCAAATAAATAAAATCTTTAAAAAACAAAAACAAAAAAATTAAAAAAAAAATTTGGCGTTTCAGGAGTGGCGGAAAACACATGGGCTTTGAAATCCCCAAAGGGGCACTTTTGTGTATTAATTCACCTGCCAAATGTTACTGGTCACCTAGCACATGCTTGTTGCTATGCAGAAAATTAGGGGTACAGGAGTTAACGAGGCATAAAGCGGGTGCTGCTACTAACACTGATCTTGAGTACACTGGATTGCCTCTGAGGCTCAGCTTCTTCGTCTCTAAAATGAGAATAAAATAGCTCAGTCAGAGGATGAGATGGTGAAAAACACATGAAATAACTGAGCACAGGACCTGACAGAGAGCGGGAGGTAAGGAGATGTACTTTATCTCTTCTAGTTGTAGAGACAAGTTCAACAATTATCCAGACACGAGTACCTAGTACATGCCCACTCTGACCCTAAAACAGGAAAAAAATACACATACAAAGGCAGATCGTCCTCTTCACAGACTAGAAATACAAGGTTGGATTTTATTTCAGCATGTGCTACTATCATCATTAAATGCCTCAGAACAAATCATATATGAGGTAGGACATGTGTTCTTCAGAAATAAGCATTCAATTTGTTAGATAATTTTCAAATGGTTTGGTAAAACAGACACACAGACTCATATATGAATATAAAGGAAATCAAGCAAAATGTGAATAATCAAGGAGCTGAGGTCGTGGATCTACAGGCATCTGCTGTGCTGTTCTTTCAGCTTTGCTTTTTGTTTGAAAACGTCCATAATGGGGGCGCCTGGGTGGCTTAGTCGCTTGAGCATCTACCCTTGGCTCAGGTCATGATCCTGGGATTGAGACCCACATGGGGTTCTCCCTCTCCCTTCTACTTGTCACCCCTACCCCTAGCTTTTGTGTGTTTTCTCTCTCTGCTCTCGTTCTTTCAAATAAATAAATTAAATTAAAATAAAATAAAATGGAAATGTCCGTAATGAAAAGTCCAGGAGAAAAGGACAAGGAAAGGACCTCACAGGGAAACACATGACAAGAGTAATAAGGGGAGAAGCTGGCAGGTTGTGCCCCAGGCATACGGGTGCCAGCAAATCCCACTCCTCTACTTTGCTGCAATGTTCTTACCTTTATTCTCTTCTCCTTTTGCCATCTTGCTAATGGGGAAAATGGTCGTCACGTGCACGCAGTCCAGTATGGCCAGGAGTATTTTGGTTAATCGGAGAAGGTCAGAGAAGTTGTAGAAACCAAAGTATATGAGATTCCTCGCTAAATTTACAACCTATTATATTAAAACAAAAGAGAAAGATGGTATTTAATAAATGTACCCTTCAGTTTTACATTGACTAGCTGATAAATGACTCATTCTGACCCTCGTTATGGTAAGAGAAGGCACATACTGTGCTTGCCATTTCTGATCAAATTTCCTTTTGTTTCATAAAGAGAAAAAATAAGAAACAAAAAACTGCCAAGCTCCTGACCTATTTCAATAACCTAATCATCTGTCTGTGCAGCTACCCAAAGATAATACAGGGCCAGCCACCTTACAGCCAAAGAGAACACAGGTAACAACATTATAATGTTCAGAAAGAGAACTCCTCACAAGGAAAAGTGGTCTCAAAGAGAAACATTTTAACTCAACGGTAACAAGGATTTATGTACCTCAAATGATTCATCTGTGACAGATTGCAAGCAGAGGCTGTTTCTTTCCTGCAGCGTTTTCTTTTTCCATTTTTTTCTTTTTAAAGATTTTATTTATTTGACAGAGAGAGAGAGACACAGCAAGAGAAGGAACACAGGCAAGGGAAGTGGGAGGGGGAGAAGCAGACTCCCCATGGAGCAGGGAGCCCGATGCTGGGCTCGATCCCAGGACTCTGGGATCACAATCCGAGCCAAAGGCAGACACCCAACTGACTGAACCATCCAGGCACCCTTTCCTGCAGTTTTTAATATAATGTACAGAGTATACCTAATATACTATCATTTCACATGATACAATTTGCCCTGAGTACTTAACTAAGAACTTAACTACCATTAAGCCAAGTGACTGGTTAACAGTTTTATTTTATTCTGGAATAAAATTGACCTGAATTCCTTTTTATTATCAAACGAGAGTCTCATGATAGAAATCACCACATGCTAAAATATTTTCTATTTACCCGAAGGAAAAATGACCAAAGAAAAGCAGATAAAACACATAGATCATTTCATCATGAGTTACCTCAAAGGTAAGCTTATTTTTCTCCTTATCAGAGAAAGGAAACCTCTGACAAACCACATCTCTTAAATACTCCTCCACAAATTCCATGGTTTGTGCAAACCTCTCCTTAATTTCATCTTTAGAAGTTCCACTACTGTCATAGCTAAAAGAAAAGGAAAAAGAAAAGGAAATCACATTTTAAGATCTTTGCACTTAAGCCTTCCCCAGCTGCTCCAGCCACAAAGCCAAGAAGCCCTCCCAACACCTCGTATCCCACCCTCTGTCCTTACTTTATTTTTCCCTCCTTAGCACCTATCATCAAGATATGGAATCATTTATCTTGTTTGCATCTTTTTTCCCCACTAGTGTAGAGATAGTGTTCTGGCTGGTTCACTGATGTATTACTTAAGGCTGACACCAAGTAGAAACACATATTTGTTGAATTAAAAAAAGGGACAAGATATAAAAAATATAATCATGCCATCTTTTGCATTCTTCAAAAAAAAAAAAGTAGATTTGCCACACACTTTTTAATTTTAAGCTTAATGGAAAAAAAAAAAAAAAGACTTCACTTTGCTTCTGTGATTTAACTAGACTTAACCTGACCGTAAGTGGTTTGTCTACCATGACACAAAACATTATGAGGTCTTAAAACAGCACGAGGTCTTAGCAGGAAGAAGGAGCCAGGCTCACTCGTCAATGGCGATCTCTGAGGGAATCTCAGACCACAGGCGGGCGTATTTCACAGGCGTGACTTGTTCCTGGGGATCTCGGTCCACGTGCATATGAAGCATAAGACGGCAGAAGGACGCCCTCAGGTCATAGGGCAGGTTCTCGTCAGACATGCAGCGGAGAATGAGATCAACATCCAGCTGGCCTGATATTTCATTGATGGCCAGGTATTGGCGGTCCAGACACATCCTAGCAAAGAGGTTCAACTGATACCTGGAGAAAGGTAAAGTTACATGAAGAAATCAGAAATCGTTGAGGATGAATGGAAATTCACAGCAGGACAGTCAAGATATCCCCAACTTTCATAAGAGGGTCATTTGGCCTCCTGAACTTAGATATCGACACACTCAAATGGCTCCAATAAAGGAACAGTTCAAGCTACACCAGTAGTCCTACATGTCCACCTTGCTGAGTTGGGAGTAATTACGTGACTACTTGATTCCATTTTGGCCTTGTTTACTTTATGAAATAAATGGGGAAAAATGTTACATCTCAAACGCGTGTCTATTTCTTCAGCAGTTTTTTAATACAGCATATAAAGACCATGTAGAAAATGTTAAAGATATCTCCCATGTTGAGTCTAGTTAGAAATACTAGTAGTACTAGCAGTAATACTTTTAGGATCTTATCTCATATAAGCCTACTCTTTGATTTCTACATGAAAACCATGGTGTGCAAGGTAGGGGACTACTCATAATGTCTTGTGCTTTCTTCCTCATCCAACTACACGTCATCTTTGTCACCTTCCATACTGGACCAGGGAAGCACGCTTTCGCATTCACCCTCAGGAGAAGACATATCAAACATGAAAAGAGTAAAGAACTTCTGACGTAAAATAAGCAAGCCACTAGCTTCCAAAGTACCAAATACTGGCTTTTCAACCTAAAACCCGATTTGCTATTAACAACCGTTAGTTGAAAATATTCTCAGTCTCGCCAGATACCAGTGAATGCAGATTAAAATATTATTCTATTTCATGCTGATAAAATCAGCAAAGATTAAAGAGCATCGCAATATTCAGAATTCACAAAGACCAGGAGAAATAAAGTTCTCATTTACAACTGGTGAGTGTGTGCGCCAAAATATCTGATCTAGGATTGCGGAGTGAAGTTTTAAAATACGCTTCCTCGCCAATTCAACAATTCCACTCCTGATACGAAATGGAAACTCTTACTCATATGCACACTTTTGAATAAGGATGTCCCCCGACATGAAAGGCTAAACTGTGGCATACAATGGAATATCAAAGAGCAATGTAAACGTGGCGTCCTAAAAAGGAATACCACTCCACTGTTGAAATTAGACACATCTACCTCCATTAACATGAACACATTTCAGAAGCAATACAGAATCTATCAGGCAGGTTTCATAATGGAACAATACAGCACCATTTACATACATTTCTAGGAACAGGTAAAATCCTCTCTATTTGTTAGGACTGCGTACTAATGTAGTAAAATATGAACATACCAAGAATGTGGAGGGGTGCGCACCAAAGACACGAATGGGAGGGAGGAAAAAGGAATGCAGGAGGTAACAGAGTGCCGTAACTGCCAAGTTTTACTTATTTAAAAAAAATGCCATGAGCACTTTGCCATCTTTCCTTCTCTCTTCTTTGAAGAGCCCTTCTTTGAAGTGGCTCTTCCCCCCACCCTTTTCCTCTCCATTGCCTTCCCTGAGGTGGCAGGATCCAGAGGTCTTAAAGCTGGGCCCGGGGCGACTCTGGGGCTGAAGAAGGTGACCGGCAGAGGTAGACAGTGAGCAAACAGGTACCCACCAGAGCAAAAGCCAGCCAGGTTTCTCTGTCACAGGATGGAGTCACGCACACAGGAAGGTGAAGCCTAGAACAACCCCGTGGGTGTTGGAATGGAATTGGAAGTACTGACGTGCACTCACAGTTTCATTATATATTTGTACAGACAGACAGAAAACATAGATATATGTGTGCATGTACATAAATATGCATATATGTGTGAATACACTCCTTTCCTAGCTCTGTCTGCAAAGGCTCCAGGAGGTTGGCACTATTGTCTCTATTTTGCAGATTAAAGAACCGGGGCATACAGAGGTATGTAACTCGACCACAGTCAAAAACTTCGTACATAGGAAGGTGAGGATTTGAACCCGAGCAGTCTGACGGTACAGTCTGACTCCTAGCTCCTAAGATATGCACATATGTCCTGTGCTGCTAAGGTGAAACGGTAACCGGGGGCTGATACAAGCACTCATTCTTCGGTCGCCTCGGCCGTATCTGGAAATCAATTTACTACGTAAGTATCAATCAAACTTTACCCTCCCAACTCCTACAATACACAGCATTTGCTAGACAGGGGACAACTCGTCGTTCCTTGGAGCCATTGACCAACAAGCAATAAACTTCCCCTCAATTCTTTTCAGGGCACCCCAAACCGAGCCTGGCGGGACCCCCGTCACCTGTAGTAGCTGAGAACGTCTCGGTCTTCCTTTTGTCCTTCTTTGGCATCCTGTGCCAGTTCCCTGACACTCTTGCTGCGAATCTCCTTGCTGCTGTCCCTCCAGAAGAGCCACACCTCCTCTTCATCTTCTCCTGCCTCCAGAGCATTCTCTCCAGTGGAAACGCCCTCAAATTCAAAACGAGAAAGAACCAACCTGGACAATAAGAGGAAGAGGGAAAACACTATGCTGAAATACTCGCTACTGCCGGTTCGACTACAGCCAATATCCGGCAATCTAGCCGCACTCTCAGCGTAAACATAAAACGAAAACCGGCATTTCCCTCGGCGGCAGAATCACAAAGGGCCAAACATTAACTTCTTCACATACTTTATCCCAGCGGTTCTCAAGCAGGGTGGTTTTGCGTGCCCTGCCGCATCTCGAGGAGACAACGTCGGCGGACATGTTCTCATTTCTGTGTGTCCCAGTGGAGTGGGAGGGGTATTACAGACGTCTACTGGGTAGAGTCCCAGATGCTCCTCAATTAATAGGACAGTCCCCATGACAGTTATTCAGGCCTAAATACTGAAATGCTCCAGTTGCATCAGCCCAAGCCCAAAACGAAGTTATGCGTGAGAAACAAACAAAAAAATTGCTAGTTCAGGGCTTGAGCTTGCGGTTTTGTTTTGACTTGTTTTTCCCACATTGGCCCCATTACGGGCATGGTACTTACCAGGAAAACTGTTCCCTTGCTAAAAGTGAATCAATACCCTTACTGAAGGTTCTAGGTACCACTCAACACTTTTTGAACAATGATGATGTAAAAAGCTCTGCCCTATCATGTCTTAATATCACCACTGAATTACCTCCTTTAAATTTTAAAACTCATTATCATACTTAAAGAACTTTAAGGATGAAAACAAATGTATGCAGAATGCTCTCCGGTGAATACATACTGGTTTTCAACCAGTGTGCAAAGTAAGTGCAGAGATGGCCACTCCAAAAGCAAACTTAATATCCTATCCAAGATCTTTGGCTCAGAAAGATCCTATGCCAGCCCATCTGATTTCAGAGCAAGTCTGAAAAAGTCGAAGGGTTAAGTTCTATTAGTCAGGAGTGCAGGCTTCCAATGAGCCATACATTTTCTACCTAAATCCCTCACTTATCAGAATCTTAAATCCCAAGACTGCCACTCACTTGGTCTCAATCAGGATGTCGGCATTGGTTGGATTCAGCACGGCTTTACATATCAGTTCCTGGGTCACTGGGATCGATTTGTTCATGGACACACAGAGGTCAGAGAGATAATCTAAGAATCTGTCAAGAGAGAGAAAGCAAACAAGACATTTTCCATAACTAGAGAGAGATTTGACTCTCGGAGTCCGACTCTTCACAAGTGGTCAGATCCAACAGAGCTTGGACCAAAGAAATCACAGACGGTTTCGGTTTTGGCGCCAGTGTCTACAGCACCACCAGAAACCCAGTAACTGTAAGAGAAGAAAGACGGCAGTGGCTGGGGCAGACGAAGAAGTGATGAGGCAAAACTGCAAAGAAAGAACGAGACAAGGAAGGTCACATAAGGGAGCCATGGGGGAGGAGGAGGGCAAGCAGAGAGGCAGAGAAGGGCTTGGAGGCCCGAATGCCCCAGCTGGAATCCCTGCTTTGGTTCTCCTTAGTTATGTTCTGATATGCAGTGTGACTTGGGGAAATTTCCGGATCTCACTGTGCTTCACTCTTCTCATCTACAGCAGAGGGTAATGTATAACCTCAGAGAACTGCCCTGAGAATTAAATGAGATAATTCATGGCAAATGCTGACTTAGTTCACTCCCTCGTACATGAGAATGCTCCAGAAACGTTATTTATCTTCATGGGTGGGAAGAGTCCTTTTACAACAACACTATCAGCTTTCCCGTGTGACCCTTCACAATACCTATATTGTAAACTATTTCCCACTTTTCCTAAAAATGTTGTGGATCCCCCCCTTTTTTAAAAAAAGATTTTATTTACTTAGGGGTATCTGAGTGGCTCAGTCAGTTAAGCGTTTGCCCTCGGCTCAGGTCATGATCTCAGGGTCCTGGGATCAAGCCCTGTATCAGGGTCCCTGCTCAGTGGGGAGCCTGTTTCTCCCTCTGCCTCTGCTACTCCTCCTGCTTGTACTCTCTCTCTCAAATAACTAAAATCTAAAAAAAAAAAAAAAAAAAGATTTTATCTATTTGAGAGAGAGAGAGCAAGACAGAGAGAGAGACCACAAGTGGGAGTAGAAGTGATAAGAGAAGCAGTTTCCTGCTGAGGAGGAAGCCTGATGTGGGGCTCAATCCCAGGACCCTGGGACCATGACCCGAGCCGAAGGCAAATGCTTAACCCACTGAGCCAAGCAGGTGCCCCAATGTTGTGGATCTTAATTAGGAGAAGAGGGAAGAGAGTAAGAAAGGGGGAGAGCTATACAAATGAGAAGACATAGAACTGTAACATAAAATAAAAATACTCAAGCAACAATTAAGTTTGCAAAAGACTCTTACTAATATTTGGGGAGGTGTTCTAACTGAAAATCAGGATGCTAAACTGGGACTGAGTGGCCGAAACTAACTGTCACTTACTGTGCAAGGACTAAGTACCAGGCAACTTCCCATGCATTTATTCTCATTCAATTTTCATAACCATTCATTTAGCATAGAAGAAATTAAAGCTGAAGGGGAAAGCTGAAGGGGAAAGCCGAAGGTCACCCAGCTGGTAAATGCCAGAGCTAGGATTCCACCAAAGGTCTATTCCAATATCATGTTTTTTCGACTACTCACCCAACGGTCTCTCAAGACCGGCCTAAATGAAATCTGCCACTGGCAACCCTCAAAAAGGAAACCTAGCCCAAAGTACAATGACTAGCTCAGTGACTGCACCTTCGATGCCCCGATACCTTCTGCCGACCAGGCCCACTTCCGTCTCACCTGGGCTCCCTGTTCTTCCGCACCAGACTGACAAATGTGTCGATCTCAGCGGCGGTGATGTGTTTTTCCAGGAGTTTTCGGTTATTGTGAAGCAAGGCGGTGATGGTGTCTTCGGCCAACACATCATAGCCAATCTGCTTCTGCATGAAGCCAAACTGCTTGGCTATATACTCCTTTTAAGGAATAAAAGAGAGGTCAGCAGGGACAATGAAAGGTATTAAGATTAACCCAAAACCAAGGAAAGTAGCAACAGTCCCTGATGAGAATTATCATTCATAAGGGAAATCCTAGTGGAGCATCTTTCCACAACTTTCTAATCTAGGACACCAGCTGCACACGTGCCCACATCCTTCATTTTACTAAACCTGCCATACAAATGTAATTAAGCAAATTATCCTGTATGTACAGATGGGCATTTTGTTAAGTGCACAGTATAAATATTAATGTGGTGACTTATTTCTCTAAAAGGTCAAAAGCTGTTTCTCAGCTCTGATTTTATTACTAATTCAAGAGGCTTTAACTGTGCCTTACTGCTCTGTGCTGCTGAATAAACACACTTAAGCCTACCTAGATATTTAGAACAATACCACCCCATCCTGTTTTCTGTATCCGGGGTGAAAATACATTTTTATAGCCAATGGGTAGCAGGATCACATGAGGAATACCTAAGCCCATCAGTCAGATTCACAGAACGTACAAAAACATCCCTGGCTTCTCTCTCAGGGGACCAGACGTGACGTTCCATAAAAATACATGAGAACTTGGGAAAGCCTCTTGCACATATTTGTTTGTTTCTAGTCAAAGATATATCCCTTCCCAAGACAGACTGTTTGCTTACTAAAAGTACGAAGAGCCCTTGAAACTTGGCTTAAATTTTTTTTAATTAATTCTAAAATCCTAAAAACTACTCGGGGTGTCCATAGGGGACACTGACCCCTTTTCAGCCGATGCTCAATAAGGGTGCATGTGTGGGAAATCGCCAGCCTTCAGGGACCTCCTGCCAAGCGGCAGAGACTCTACAGACAACAAGCAAAGACAGTCAATGTCGCAGCAGCAAGAGGGACTGTAGGGTGTCTCCATGTACAAGCAAAATGTGCAGGCAGACACCGGAGGCTCTGGTGTGACCTCATATGAAAAGGGAGAAAAGAGTCTCTTTGTACTATTCCAGGACGGTGTCAGTGCACTGCAGGTGGATTTAAAGCCACCAGAGCACTCAAGGACCAGCAGTCCGCACTGAGGAATACAGCCTCACAGGTAGAGGGTACTTTGGATCTCAACAGTAGCAAAGGCCACATCCGTCACAAGCTCAGTGTTCTTGCTCACAAGGTTCTCTCTGATACTCTGGAGCACTGCCTCCATTTAACACTGTCTTCACGACAACACATGAAACTTTTTATTACAGAGAGAAGTTTAAATTTAAAGGCCAGGGTTCGTGGCAGTCAAAAGTTTACCAACAAAGGCCTTTTGTAACCCAATGCAGAGACCAGGATTCAAGGTTATCCCAAGCGCCCTCTGTGCACCTACAGCACTTTATGTCACCAAGAGCAGGACTCCCCAATCTCAGCACTACCGACTTTCAGGGCTAGATGACTGCTTGTTGTCCTGTACGTTCTGGATATTCCTTTGATCCACTAGGTGCCAGTGGTGACACTCAAAAGGGTCTCTCGACATTGCCAAGTATTTCCTGGGGGACAGCATTAGTGCCAGCTGAGAACTACTAAATGTGACAACACAGTTCATAGGCTTCCTTAAAATCTCAAATTGATGGGAACCCTCAGAAAGGTTAGAACATTTATTTTATGGGAAGAGAATAATATAGACAGTGCCATGACATTCACAAGGGCTTCGCATGTCATAAAACATACCCAAAACCAAAATAAAGAGAAAGTTACCAGCAGACATGGAGGATATAGAAGGGAGCAGGAAGAAAAAAAATTCTGCTCTATCTTTAATATAAACACATGCAATCACTTCCCTGAACCTTAAGGTAAAGCACCTTAAAAAAAAAAACACTAGAAATGCAGTACCAATGTCCAAAAAAAAAAAAAGTCTCACTGAAAGGTGGCTGCAGAAGGGGATTTCTCTGATACCTTTCTTAAGGACTCTTTTTCTCAGGCTTGCAAAAATGTATTTCCTTGCTAAGCACAAACTTAGTAAACTATTCCTTAGCAATTAAGTAACGACAGATGTAAGACTTAAAACCATGAGGCACGTATATGAACTTCAGTCAGTCCCAAATCCCAACCTGGTTTTTCCTGTAGTCTTGCTGGGAGTGTCTCAGGACCCTGTAGCAGAGCCGGCAGATATGTCGGAAAGGGGCGTGCCGCTGGTCCCCAAGCTCCTCCAGCCGCAGCATGGGGCCATCGCCACAGTCTGTGAATGGTGCTTGTAACAGCTTGAAGATCTGATTGTCAGAAGGAAGAACAGACACTGCCATCATTTAGAGTGCTGATGGCTCGCCCTCTGTCTCAAACTAATCTAACCTGACAGGTGGCCAGACTGTGCTGGCAACTCTCTCTAGATCAACATCAATAACTTGAACATTACATGCAATCCACCAACTGGGACTGGCTACTCACTGAATTCAGGCCACCTGGACCTAACTGGTCCTCAAGCACTTGCAAGTATGGTGTAGGGCAATGGTTAAAAGTACAGACTCTGAGGGCGCCTGCATGGCTCAGTGGGTTAAGCCTCTGCCTTCGGCTCAGGACATGATCTCGGGGTCCTGGGATCAAGCCCCACATCAGGCTCTCTGCTGGGTGGGGAGCCTGCTTCCTCCTCTCTGCCTACTTGTGATCTCTCTGTCAAATAAATAAATAAAATCTTAAAAAAAAAAAAAAAAGTACAGACTCTGGAATTGCCAGATTCTAGGTTGAAATCACACTCTCTACATTATTCCCTAGTGGTATAAAGGACAGTTTCTCCTCAGTAAAATGGTTTTCTCCTCAGTAAAATGGAAAGAATACCACCCAGCTCCCAAAGGGGTCCTAAGGATAAAAGGGGATAATAACTGTCAATTGCATAAATATAGTGCTCAATGAAGGCTTCTGCCATGGAATTCGATCATTCTGGCCCCTCAAGGAACTACTACTGTGTTGGAAAATGAGCATTGGCATGGAGCCAGAGGTCTAATCTGGGAGTCATCCCATGAAACAGCTGGATATAATTTATTCTTGGATGGGAACTCCTTGTTGAAACAGGATGGAGTGTTAATAAATTTTGTCTATCATCAACTGACAGGAAAAAGGAGTCTCAAATCCCAAGTTCCTATGGAGAACTGTAGGACTAGTAACTAATATGTTTTTCTTTGGGGTTTAGTGGACAGGAATTTCCAAGCCATGCATATAGCTAACATATAGCTTTAGAGAACTATATGGTATGCATTTCTGTGCACTTCATCTACTCTTGTCACCCACCTCCCTATCATTTGTCTTTATACCAGTTTATGTAAATTTATGCCAGATAATACTATCTACATATGTCCTATAAGCCATTTACTCATTCTTACGGTAAGATTTTGTGGTGGTTTATAGAGTTCCCTATTTATCAAATACTCCAATTCTCCCAGACATGTGAAATAACCTTAAGGTCACATAGCACTCATTATTTCTGATGAAAATAAAGTAGTCAAATGAACTTTTCTTGGAGTTCCTAACAGATGAATTCTCACACGTTGAGATTCAACAAGTGCATTTTCAACTGAACTGAGCTATGAAGCCATGAAAAGACACAGAGGAACCTCAGATGCATATTACTCAGTGAAAGAAGACAGTTTGGAAAGGCCTCATACTGTAAGATTCCAACTATGAGACATTCTAGAAAAGGCTAAACAATGGAGGCAATAAAAAGACCAGTGGTTGCCAGGGACTGAGGGGAGGGAGGGATGAATAGGCAGAGTATGGAGGATTTTTAAGACAGTGAAAATATTCTGCATGATACTACACTGACAGATGTCATTATATATTTGCCTACATTCAAAGAGTGAGTATGTAACACCAAGAGTGAATCCTAATGTAAGCTATAGATTTGGGGGGACTAGGATGTGTCAATGCAGGTCCACCAACAGTAAGAGATGGACTGCTGCAGTGGCACATGTGAATGACAGGTACGGCTATGCACGTGTGTAGACCGGCAGTACACGTAAACTCTGTGCTTTCCGCTCGCTACTGTTCTGAACTCAAAACTGCTCTCCACGCATCAAGTCTGTTTTCTCCAAAAGTCAGTTGATCAAGCCTTCCAGGTGGGAACCACACACATCCCTGTGTAAGAGCAGGGATCTCACTGATGTCTTACAAAGATCCCAGTACATCGCATCTCACAAACCTGCTTGAGAATATTCTGTTCTCTCATCAGCTTCTGCCGTTCTCTGTTAGGCTTGGAGAAGACCACTTCAAGTACATCTTGACCAGAGTTAGTGCCACCGGTGACAAAATAAACCAAGTCTTCCAGCAGCTTGGTTACAGACCTTAGGGGGAAAGAAGCAATTAGAGATGGGAAATGTTTAATGTCCAATAGGTTGGAAGCGTCACCTTGGGAGACTCAGGCCTAATGAGGTAGTTAAACCCAAGTGGATCCGTTCTTCCCAATTTCCCTGCGAGTGACAAATCAATTACCAGAAAGAATAAAATACACAGAGCACACTATCGTCCACAAAAGGATAACCATCTCATTAAAATAGGAGCCATCAAATTTCATTTCAGAGTAACACTGGCCCCTGACATTTAGTTAGGTAGTTCCAGAAGCCAAACTGGAGATAGACCGGTCTTTTCAACTTTAGAGACTTCCAAAGAAGTGAATGTGGTTTTTGAAAACCACAAGTTGAAGCCACATATAAATGCTAAGGCCTGCTCCTCTCACACAAGGTTGTTCAGAGTTGGCATTTTTCTCTTTCTGCAAGCAAGGGATTTAAAAAGTCCATAGTGGCTGAGGATGAGTGCGTCTGGCTCTTGCTGAAGCCCTACCTTCTTTCATTCTGGGTGATGGTGCCCTTCTCCAGCTTCCCAGCTATGGAACCCAGCACTTTGCTGGCATCATTGGCAAAATCCAGGTCCCGAACCTCAGCAGGGGAAACTGGAACTATGGCAAATGCTTCCTTATCCTCTTTCACAGGGGAAGTGCCAATCTGAAAAGCAGAATGTTTTTATGGAACTGTCTCTTGGATTGAGAGAGGAACACATTAAGCAAACACTATACTTACGGGACAATGGGCTATCCAAAGAGCTGAAGCTATCTTGCAGTTAAAATTAACTAGATATAGACAAACATCTGGAAGGAAGTACCCCAAATCATTAACAGTTGTTACCTCCAGAGATTCTTACTGTGGGTAAGCGTGAGGCAGAAAATGGGCTCTGGTATCAATTTATACCTTCATTTGTTAAAGGAAGCATATTAAGACTGTTGGAACTTAAATATATGCTTATAAACACATAAGGAAAAAGCAAATGAGCAAAATGGTAATTATTTACTCTGAGTATTATAAGGGTAGACAATGTACCAGGGGCACCTGTGCGGCTCAGTGGGTTAAGCCTCTGCCTTAGGCTCAGGTCATGATCTCAGGGTCCTGGGATCAAGCCCCACATCGGGCTCCTTGCTCAGCAGGGAGCCTGCTTCCCTCTCTCTCTCACTGCCTGCCTCTCTGCCTACTTGTGATCTCTGTCTGTCAAATAAATAAATAAAATCTTTTTAAAAAAATGAGAGTATCATTTTTTAAAAACAAAGTCCGTGTTTGTGAATTTATGCTCTCTGACCCTGGAGAAGGTAGAGAAGGAGAGGGGGATTCAGTGAGAGAAATTAAAGGGGCTGAGAGAACTTTCAAAAAACAAAAGTATATTTAAGTACACAGAGAGATAAATAAATAATAAAGATTGGGGAAAACTGACTAGGTATCTGATGTGCCTCAAGGCACAAGCAAACATTCCCCCAGCCAAAAATGATCCTTCAGACAGACGTGAAATCCAGACAATTGCTCAACCTTTAGGGCAAAAGCCATGGAATAAAAAAAAGTTCTAGTTATTTCAAAAAGCCTGGGCTTGCTTTAGCCAGGTCCCTTGGAGAGAATTCTTTCACTGCATTCAAGTTTGTCCATGACCACACACTGGCCAAACCAAAAAACCGCAGTCCCTACCCTTCCGTCAGTTCTCAAAGGAGCCCTTTCATTAGGGAACACAAGACCAAAGGAGACAGCCAAGTTCCAGGACTTACTTTCAGCATCACGGGTTTCTCTTCTTCCTTGTCGATGGGGATATTTGTGCTGTGAACCCAGGTATTAGTGCACAGGTGTCTGAGCCGGACATAGGAGTTTCTAAAGGGGGGGATAAAAAAGGATTTGCGGCATAGGAATTTTTAGGTTCTCTATAGCCACTGGCCTAGAATACATTCTATCAAAAATAAAAAGGTATACTAAATGGTTTTTGTTACATACACTAGAAAATACAGACTGAGAAGCAAATGGCTACTGAGGTATATTCTGATATATTTATAATAAGAAATCATTCCTTTGGGACGCCTGGGTGGCTCAGTTGGTTAAGCAGCTGCCTTCGGCTCAGGTCATGATCCCACGGTCCTGGGATCGAGTCCCGCATCGGGCTCCTTGCTCAGCAGGGAGCCTGCTTCTCCCTCTGCCTCTGCCTGCCATTCTGTCTTCCTGCACTCCCTCTCTCCCCCCCTCCCCCCAAAAAAAAAAAAAAAATTTAAAAAAAAAAAAAAAAAAAAGAAAAAGAAAAAAGAAATCATTCCTTTGCTCACTTCAGGAGTACAGGTCTGTGAATCATCAGTCTTACACAATTCACAGCACTCACCATAGCACATGCCCTCCCCAAAGTCCATAATGTTAAGAATTTTAAAAATGATAGTAAAAAAAAAGAAAGAAATCATTCCTAAGGATTCTAACATTGGGATATTTGTATCTCTAAATATAAGATCATTCTCCTAAATGAGTATCTCAGAACAAACTAAGTAGGAGACAGAGTAACAGCAAGTCCTTCCTGAGTATATATTAATGCAGATCATCAGAGTTGATAAAGCAACACTTGAAATTTTCATATGGATCAAAAAACAAAAAAATAAAATTACTAGGATAAAATATGAGTTAATATTTAATAATCTTGTGGTAGGGAAAGCCTCTAAAGCACATAGCAACATATAAGTTTTGTAAGTTTTAAAAGTCAAAGAAGGATACATCTTATAATACAGTTTAAATTTTTTATCTTCTGTAAAGCAAAAAAAAAAAGAACAAACAAATAAAAAAACATCAGGGACAGCTGAAAGAAAAAGGACAACCTGGGAAAATGAAAGAATACAACATAGCATAAAAAGGTTATTAATCTGCATTTATAAAGAGATCTTTAAAATGAGTAAGAACATGAATACTGGAAATGAAAATGAGACTAGGACATAAGCCAGTAATGTAATAACCCAGTTTAAATGGCCAATAAACTTGAAAGTATACATTCAATCTTCTTAGTATACAATTCATATAAATTAAAACTATATATCATTTTACTCTACCATAGTCCAGAGATCTTGGAGACTGAGATAACCCAGTATATACAAGAGCTTAGGGAAATAACCTCTCCTCACACTCCTGGTGAGACTGTAAACAGGTGAAACCCTGAAAGGGAGTCTGGCACTTTATAAAACAAGTAAAATCTATCTACCTTTTCACCTAGCAATGCCATTTTTAGATTTTTTTTTCACTTAAAATGACAGCACAAGTACAAAGTGGGGCATGGAGACATTCAACAAAACAATACTTACAAGAGTGAAAAACTGCAAACAATCCAATGTCTCAACAGTGGGCTAGTTAACTGTGTAGTACATGCAGTAGAATACTAACAATGTAAAGTGATTATAATCTATATATACTTGGAAATATGTACAGAACATCCCCAGTAAAAAATGTTAAAAATAGTTTATAATTCTATTTATGATGAATTATATATATGTTACCTGTGTGCCCAGAGACCTGTCTCAAACTATAACCATAATAAACCATAAATGTTAACAGTGGTTATCTCTCAATAATTAAATTTTATGTAATTTTTATTTGCTTCTTTGCTGTCTGTGACATTAACACATTTTTGTTTTTGCTTTTTACAGTGAGCATGGATAATTCTACAGTGTTTTTCAATCTGCTTTAAGGAAGTAGTAGAAATAGTGGCATAATTCTTACATCAAGAACATACCACATTAGTGAGACAAGATCAGTGAATACCAAACAAAAGCAAGTAATGGGAAATGCACATTAAAAAGCATTAAGTTGGGAGACAGTCAAGGTAAGTACTGAAGAACTTTTAGAAGATATCAATGAGGCTTCAGAAAATCATGATAGTTTTTTGTTACAGAAACCCTGAGTTGTAACTTTGAACATTGTTGGGGCTGGGCAGATAAGGGATCACAGACATCACTTGAGTTAAGAGGAATTTAGAGCAATGGTATAGACGTGGAAAAGAGGTGAGGGCAGGGACAGCATCAAACCAGATGACTATCTTTAGTACATCCTCTCTGCCTTCTGCTTTCCCTCATTCTAACTGCCCTGAACACTATAAGTAAGGGCAATCCTAGCGATTTTTATGTAAACTAGAATGAATATACATGAAACAACATGAACAAGAAATCTGACAGAGATTTTCAGTTCTTTTTCTTCTGAGTGGCTTGGACTCATTTTCTTAGTTTCAAAGTATAACCAAAGCTTGGAGCTTAGCTTTTAATTGGATGATTATATTCTACAAAGCTCTAGGCCAAATTATATTTAAGACACAAAGAGCATTGTATCCGTTCATCCCAAGTCTCATTCCCAATCCTTAACTCAAAAGCCATGAGATCAGGACAGTTACAAAACAGCCACAAAGTTGCATGCTCTCCCAAAGTTCATTTAATTCATCTATTTTATATATATTGTAATTTTATTATCTTGTTTAGTATATCCAGAATTTGCCATTATCCTTTTCATTTTGGCTTGGAAAGATTCTTTTAACCAGTGACTATCCCAAAAATTCCTTTGCTAACATCATTTCAGAGACATTCATTTATCTACTTTAGACTTCCTGATCTTCAAACAAACAATATTTAGCACAGCTTTAAGATGCAGGGAAATGAGTATACTACCCCTAAGGCTTTTTATCTCTCCACAGGAATAATGCATAAGGAGCCCATTCAATTCTGGCTCTTGGGTTTTTGGTCAAAGGCAAAAATGGATAAAAACTTTTAAAGCTAAGACCAAGTCCAAGATCATAACTGCTAACTAACACTGGTAGACCATACTGGACACTTTTCCATGGTGAATACAAGACTTCCCTTGTTTAAGAGTTTAGAATCCATCTACCTATGGACAACTATCCACCAAGAGTTTTCCAACAGAGAAACAGAAATAGATTGAAGTGGATATAGAAGCACGATCTCTAACCAGCCAAAGTTGCTTGGCCATCTGACCTAAAAGCTTAGACTCAACTTCCCCCTTCCTACAGGATCATGTGGATTTTCAACCCATTGGGGAATATGGCCAACTAGCTAGCACCTTACTCCCCATGCCAAGGGAATGTCACGAGACACATTCTAATAAAATGATGTGATATTTCAAATCACAGGGTCCTGTTCTTTGCTATCCCTTGCAAACTAAAACGTTTAGCATTTATGTAATATAAATGTCATTCCCTCATCTCCTGGGAACCTAACCAAATTCATTAAATCACTACTAGAACAGAGGACACAACATATGGAAACTTACTTAAGCTAAAATGCAATTGGGTTCTACAGACCTGTACTTATCTAGTTAACAAGTCAATGAGAAAGAAAGCTTTTAAAAAGCAATCTAATGGGGTGCCTGGGTGGCTCAGTCTATTGAGCATCTGACTTTTGATTCCAGCTCAGGGTCATGAAATTGAGCCCAGCATGGGATTCTGTGCTCAGCGTGGAGTCCACTTGGGATTCTCTGTCTCCTTCTGCCTCTGCCCCTCCTCCGTACGCACTCTTTCTCTCAAAATAAATAAAATCTTAAACATAAAAATCAACGTACCATACCACAAACCATATTTTAAAGGGATCTCAAAATGGGTCAAAGACCTTAAGAGTAGAGAGCAAAAACTATAAAACTCTTAGAAGAAAACATCAGTATAATTGTTTTTGACCTTGAAATGGGCAATGGTTTCTTAAGAAATTAGAAACTTAAGCAATCAAAGAAAAAATAGATAAATTGGACTTCAACAAAATTTAAAACCTTTCTAATTCAAAAGATACCATCTAGAAAGTGAAAAAACCTAGAGACTGGGAGAAAATACTTGCAAATCATATACCTAGTAAGAGGTTTATATCTAGAATAAAGAACACTTAAAATTCCATAATAAAAAGACAACACAATTTTTTAAATGGAAAAAAATTCTTCTAAGATGATACATGAGTGGCCAACAAGCTCATGAAAAGATAATGAACCTTATTAGGCCTCAAAGAAATGCACATCAAAACCACAATGAGGTGCTACTTCACACTTACCAGGAAGGCTCACATAAAAAGACAGTAACAAGTACTGGAGAGAGAACACGTAGAGAAATTGGAACCCGCACACACAGGTGGTGGGAATGTAAAATGGTGCATCCGTGTTGAGAGAGTCTAGCAGTTCCTCAGAAGGTTAGATAGTTACCATATGACGTACACTTCTTCCACTTCTAGATCTATACCCAAGAGAAGGAAACCTTATGTCCCCTCCCCAATAATGTGTACACAAATGTTCACAGCAGCATATTAGCCAAAAAGGACAGATGATGCAAATGACCATCAGGTAATACGTGGATAAATATGGGGTGCCTGGCTGGCTCAGTCAGTAGGGCAAGCAATTCTTGATCCCGGGGTCGTGAGCTTGAGCCCCATGTTGGGCACAGAGATTACTTTAAACAAACAAACAAATAGATAAATAAATAAAATCTTTAAAAAAAAATGTTGACAGATAGAGATCACAAGTAGGCAGAGAGGCAGGCAGAGAGAGAGAGAGAGAGAGAGAGAGAGAGGAGGAAGCAAGCTCCCTGCTGAGCAGAGAGCCGGATGTGGGGCTCGATCCCAGGACCCAGGAATCATGACCTGAGCAGAAGGCAGAGGCTTTAACCCACTGAGCCACCCAGGTGCCCTGATAACTTTTTTTTTTTTTTAAAGAATGGGCATTAACCCTTCTTTTAGAAAAATATGAAAAAATAAGTGGATAAATACAATGGGATAAAACTACATAATGGAATGTTATTCAGCAGTAAGATAAAATGAAGTACTAATACATGCTATAATACAGAGGAAAGTAAAATAAGCCAGTCATTAAAGATCACAGGTTACATTTACATGAAATGTCCAGAACAGGCAGATTACTAAAGACAGGATGCAGCTGAGTCTAAGACTGGACGTGGAACATGGGGAAATGAGAGTGATGGAGAAAGGATACGGTGTTCTTTTTTGGGAAAAATGTTCTAAAACTGTGATGACAGCTGCCCGATTCTGCTCATCCCCTAAACACCACTGAATTGAGCCTGTTAGGTGAACTGTATAGAATATGACTTAGATCTCAACAAATCTGTTATTTAAAAAAAAAAAAAAAGAAAAGAAAAAGGCAATCTAAATCAGGAGTTCCAACCCTGGAGAATGCAAAGCTGTGCACATACTTGAGGTTTTCTAGAGGAACATCCTAGCTTTCCCCCAATTCTCAAGGAATTAACAACCCAGCAGAGTTTAAGAACGAAGCAACCCTTTAACTAGATGGCCATGGAAGGCCTCCTTGCACTGTAAAATCTCTTCTATGCAGACACTGTCCTCGGTTCATCACTCCAGCAGCACAAGAGAAGCTTCTCTGCTACTGCTGAGAGCACCCACATGGCACTTACCGTTTCACTGACAGGTTGAACAGTGACACGGCAATGACGTACACGAATAACGAAACACAAAGTGATAGTCAGAGGAGCCATGTGTAAAAGCTACAGATGCCAAGGAGATTGTCGCTAACCAATGCTGTGTTGAAGAGTCAGAACTGCCCCCAACAACCCTGTCCATCTTCAGTGTTTAAGATTTGGGGCTCTGCAAAGGGACTGGCTGATATGTGATGAGTTGCTTAAACTCTCTGAGCTTCGGCATCTACCTAGAAGAAGGGCAAGTAGTAACACCTAGCTCACAGCTGGGGGCGAGGAGAGGGGCAGGTTTGTGAAGATCAAATCAGGTAACTGAAATGAAAGCACTTGGCATTGAACATGGCATGTAGTCAGCACTCAGTAAATATAAGCCATCATTGATAATAGTGCAGCTGATTTGGGTGTTAAGCACGAGTTTTTATTCCACTTGAGTCCAGTTATTCCCTCCACCAAAATGCATCCTTGTGCAACCAAACCAAGAGTCAAATTTAACAAAATAACCAAAGAACACTGGTCTGACTTCTCATATTCCACTACATATTCAATGAACTACAAATATTCCATTTCCCAGAATTTCTTTACAATTGTTTATTCAGTTGACTTAGGGGATCTCTCAAGTTGGGAAATGAGGACATGAGTAGAGGAAATCAGACATATGGAGCTACTTAGGCTTATGATTTGACTTGTTCACCTAAATAAAGTAAATTAAATAAATGAAAATAAATTAGGCTCTTGAGAACTTAAAACTAATGAGCCATAAACAAACCAGCCACCATTCCAATGGGCAACCAGAACAAATCTTTTACAAAAGCTTCAAGAAAGGCAATGATGATTTGGATTCTAAGAAGCCCAGCCAGGTCACATACACCAGCTCTGACTCACTCAGGATAAGCCATTTTAGAATCATACCTTGGAACAAGGCTATCACCTCCACGGAGAGTGGTGGGGTCTAGCTCAAAAATGGAGGAGATGTCGTTGCCTTCAGGCACAGAAACTAGGGAGTACACCATCTTTTCTTGGGCATTTCGCAACCTGCTTCGAGAGGCGTCCTGATCAGGGTCCACCTGAGGAGGAAAAGTCATCAAGTCATGGATTCTGCACACCAGACCTTCCCTCACTACAATCACTGCACAGTCCACAGGAACAGGGAATAAACATCAGCAGTTGGCAGGAAAAGAACCACAGTTTCAGAGCAGTCATGAAAGAGGACAGTCGGCCACCCACGCCAAGAATATTTACACTCTACCTCCTTGTATTGCAAAAAAATGTTTAAACAATGCAGGGTTACAGTAACAGATGTCCACGGAAAGAGTGCTATAGCGGTGATGAAGAAGTCCACAGGGCACATCCGTCTGCAGTAGTTGGAAGAGAGAAGAAGCACTTTGAGAAAAACTCATCCTGTGGCTTTGGTTATGGGTCATTGTGTTAAGCTACAGTTAAATGTCTAGGAATAATACGATATATCTACTTCCCAGGAGAAAAAGTAAAATAAAATAAGCCTGCATCCAAGTGTTCATAAGCAGAGATCCCAGTGTGGCCAAGAAAAATATTTGAGAAGTCAGACTAGCCCTGAAAAAAAGTTCATAATTAATCAAGGAGCGTTGCTGACGACAATTCAGGGAAAAGGGGGCCTCTCTTGCTATGTAAGGGATTTGGTGGAGGCTGAAGAAAATTTCTGACAGTTAAGACTAATGAACAATGACGAAAGCTTTCCTGAGAAACTATAAAAACACATTGTAGGCTCCAGAGCCCATATGGTTGAATGCCTTTAAGCAGTATGCTTAGACCGTCACGTCCTCGCATAGGCTTTGCTAGGTGTCTCCCGGCACGGAGACTCTACGTGGGATTATTTTTAATTTTCAACGTCCTTGCAAGAAGACAACATTCACCTATATCTACAGGGAAAAATCACATTTTCTTTGTCACTAACTTGCTTGGCTTGGGCTGAGGCACTGACTCTTTTCCAACTGGGGAATGGATAAAAGGAAATCAAATTTAACACGCAAAGGAGAGAGGATGAGAGAATTTAATTCTAGGGCCTGACATCTAAGATTGCAGGCAATAGTCTGCTCTAGCTCATCAGGCAGCCCCAACTTTTGTTTGAGGAAAGGAAGAAGGGAATGGAGGGAGAATGAGGGGAGGGGGATGGAAGGAGAGAGAGGGAGGGAGGGAGAAAGAAAGAAAATACAAATGCTTCCTTTAATACCTAGAAGCTCTGTATCTTCCTCCCTATGCCCTCTCCTCTAATACCTTATAGCACCATCCAAACAAAGCCACAACTCATTGTTGTTTCTACCCTCAAGGATGAATCTACTGGAGAGCACCAACTACCCCAGTTCAAGGAATAGCTCTGCCCTCTTCTAACCACTCTGACCTGCAAAGTCTTCCACATACCACTTTAAAATAAGCCCTGACCTGATTCTGGCTTGCAACACACAGCTCAGCTACAGGCTGGCAGTTCAATTTCAGACCTGCCGGAACACTGAAGAAAAATTAAAATTGCTCGGAGTGCCTGTATCTGGACTTGTAACCGCAAGACAACGTCTTCGCGTTCTTTGTGTGCAGTCGGCGTTTGCCACCTAGTGGGAGGAAAGGCACATGAACAACAGGCTGCAAGATGAGAGCCAGCCTCGGATTGTCCTTTCTCTCCCTCTGGCATCAAGAATGCAGCTCATGGGTGCTGCTAAATTGAGAAGAACAAGCTCACCAAGCTAAGTAAGATTCCAGGCAGAGATTCTTACAGGCACTGGATGCCAGTCTCGGGAACGTCTGTGACCCACGAGCAGAACAAAGTTTCCTCTCCCATGCTTTCCCAACTCCAGCTTTTCTGCTCAAGTTTCCCAGCCTACAAGAAGGTGAGGGGTATAGGACTCTCCCAATGCTAACACCTTCCCCAGAGAGGCAGGAGCTGGGCCGCTTGGCTCAGGGTCTCCACATGGGCCACTGGGCTCATGGGGGTAGGTCTCCATAATGAAGATCGCCACCCAAGCAACATCTGAAGCAGCCAAAGCAATGTGGTCTAGATCTGCACCCACGCCTGCTGGCACACTCCACCACCGGGGCATGGAGAAGCAGGAGAAAATAGAAAGATGACTGAACTCTGATTGAACCAAGACAGGTCTGACGAGTTAGGACCACGCTCTGGTTCCTCATCGGTCCAACAAACATCATCAAATCTCCCCTAACTCCTTTCACACAGCTGCTGCGCAGTCCAGATGAACTCATGGATGGATGTAAAGACACTAAAAATGCTAATGATCTTGTCCAACCTACACAAATGCTACTTGCTGAGCACTTACTATGGGCTGCGTCTTAGGTACCACAGCTCACTTGGTCCTTATAACAAGCAGTTCCGCCACTTTTACAGAGGAGGGAAGTGAGGGCCAGAGAGGAAAATGTAGCTCATTCAGTCCCACAGCTCATGCAAGGGGAGGGTCTGCTATTTAAACCCAATTCTACCTCTCTTCCTGCCCTGCTTTTGGATCACTACATTCTTCCTCCTGTGCTACAAATGCCCGACCTCCCTGCGCCCATCAACAGGCCAGGAGGGCAGCCCCCTTCTTCACACAGCTCAATGTTCAAATGGATGTCAGCTCTCACGGGCAGAAGCCACAGCTCTCCTTATAAGTCATCTCAGAGAGGATAATAATTACTCTGTGTTTCAGCCCAAATGGTGGTGCTAATGCCATTAGAGGCAAGTCCCACAAGGTCTCTCAAAGTAAAGAAGGTGCAGTGACAAGAAGTGCCCTATGAAAAATGGCACCCCCGCCAGTCCAAGCCTCTGAAGACCAGCCACGTGAACACTACACACCAATGTTGGGCAAAGACTTTACTGCACGCTGGCAAGAAGTCAGACCAGGTCAGTGCTCTCAACCTGCCAGGCAATGAGGCAGGCAGCTCTCAAAATGAGCTCCGGCAGTAAGGGTAAGGAAGATAAAAGGAAGGAGCAGGACCCGCAGTGGCTCCCTCAAGAACTGGGAAAGACATAATCTCCTGCAGCAAGTCCAGGAACTCATGACGTGAGTCCCTCAGCTAGCACGCCTCTTCACTCCTTCCAGAGCTAACATTGTATCCAAACGTAACTGCAAGGTTCATCCTTTCCACAGAATTTGGACTTTCCAAAGACAACTGCATTCTGTTATCTCCAGCCCAAACCCCTTTATCCATGGATCCACTTTAAAACCTGTGAGCTCTTCCAAAATCTTATGCCCCCCCTCCAAGTCAAAAAGAAGTAATCTCAGAACCACCTACCATATTCACCAGAGATGATCGCATGAACACACAATGTCAGAGTAGCAACTATTTGCATTTTTTTAAATCCTAGACCAGATTGAAGCACTGTATAAGAGAAGGGCTTTATTGAGAGCCATCATTTCCATATAACAGTACCACTGTCCTCTTTAACACATATTTGTAGACAATTCAACCCCCAAGTGCCCCCAAATCAGCATTAATTGGCTGTATGGCTTCTAAAGAAGGATTCTGTTGGCATTAAATTCCAAACTACATTATAAAGTCTACTCCTGAGTCTGCAGAAAGCAAGGACAGATGGCCAGACAATCGAGTGTCTAATCCAATGTCAGGAGCACCATGCCTCATGTATTACCTCCATCATCTAAATGACACTATCCATCTCACACACTCATTCCCTGAAAAAATATGGGTGAGTCATAGATTGAGGTCAACAGCAATCGGATATTCATTTTCTTAAGGGGCCATCTCTGTGTCTTACCGAGGGGCATTCCAAGAGAGCATCAACTTCTGCAACTTAAAGGTGGAAACCCTTTGAGTAAGCACACAGAAGGAGCATCATCACTGCTAGTCCTGGACCAATCAGAACACAGGAAGATATGACTGCCCTCAAGGGAAGCACAGAACAAGACCCTCTTTTAAGGCATCCTATGGTTTCCCCTTCCCCATCACTCAATGACAAATGGCAGTTCTTAAATGGGGTTCCAGATCATTTGGCCTCACCCTACCAGATGGAGACAAGAAGGCTCTTGCTCATACTTACTGAGGGCTGAAACTCCAGGCATTCTTCCTCAAAGTCAGGGTCTACCTGATGAAAAAGAATCATTAGGAAATTAAAACATCCATTGATTTCTCCAGGACTCGGCCCCACTTGCAGGAGACTTCAGGGCCTGTGAACATCTCTGAACAGCTAAAAACTCGGCCCTTCCCTCTGCTCATGAGACCAGCATGCCACAACACATATCACATGAGTACAACACACAGGGAACGATCGACCAGTCACCAAAAGATGTCTCTCAAGTGTCGACAGAATAACACAATGAGTTTACTAGCAAGGCAACAGTTACAACCCTGAGATAAATAAAAGAGGAGTATCCAGTCATAATAATGCTTAGTGTTAGACAGAATAATCCTGCTTAGTTTTAGACAGAAATAAAAAATTTATAGCCTCCGGCAAGACTTACACTCACTTCAGAACATAACAAATAATGCAACCACTACTGATCTTTGGCAAACCATGGAATCAACATTTCTCACAGCTGGCTTGCTGGGTCTGTAACTCCTTACAGCTTCATTTTAAATTTCAACTTGGTCTTGACTTTTGGTTCGTAAGTATTTTGAAAACATCATTTCTTCCAAGTATCAGGCATCTCCAGGATGAGGGGCTCAGTACATTTCGATTCAGCCTTCTTTGGGGTCAGCAGCAAAGCAATACTGAATCACCCTGAAGATCTCTGAGCCATCCCACAGTGGAACCGGACCAACGGGAGGTTTCTTTTGATGTACGACAAGAATCTGATATAAATATGTATCGTGCATCTTCCAGCAGATCAGAGTAAAACTCAGCATCTGCCACACAGTATGATGGCTCCTTAATTGAGCACAAAAATTAAAAAGTCAATTCCTCCTGTTCAGTATTGAGTCTTGCCTTTCCTCAAAAACCCTTTACAGACATTTAAGGAAAAGTTAATGTCTTTGATTTTTGGCATTCCTGCAAGTAAAGATAAGACCCTGTCTATTCCAGCAGTGCTCTGAAAACCAGAATACTTGGTAAAGTTGTCTAATTCTTTATGTGTCTTAATGCTTCCAGCTTTACAACCATGCTTCACTACAGCTGAGTCTTGGACATTCATGTTAGGAGCAGAGCGGGTAGATAAGACATGGGGAGACCAAAATGCAAGAGCAAAAATTTTATAATCCTAAATCCCAGAGAAGCATTCTTTCCTTTTTTTTTTTTTTAAATCTACTCTCTTAGCAACTTTCAAATATACAATATAATTAACTATAGTCATCATGCTGTACATTGCATTTCCATGTAAGTATTATTTTCTAACTTATTTTCTCCCCACATCTTGATCAAATCCCTGTGAAGTACTAAAATGTGTTAATCATCTTTACGTTTTCTCATCTATAAGCAGAGAAATGAGGCAGGCAGAAACAGAAAAGCCGAAGGAAAGGCAAGGTGACTGAGCATCTAACTTCCCAATGGCCACAGGTAAATGAAAAAAAAGGAACGTGTCAGCCTTGAAAGAGAAAGACACAGAGGCTGTTACTTACCTCTGCTGCTAAGTAATGCCCTGTAGCAAGATGCTTGAAACGGAAGAGGCTGTTCCAATATCCTGCTCCGCCCCGACACGGGTCATGTTGAACTACCTACAAGAGGAGGAATGATTACCAGGAGTGGAAAAAATGTCAACCCACAGGAAGACAGCACCGAGACTTCACTCCTAAGTCATAGTTCAGGAGTGATATTTACTAGCTGAAAAAAATGAGTATCTTCCAACAAAGCCACTGCAAGTATCACATGTAATGTCAGAGCGCAAACATACGGAAGTGTTATTTTTCTCCAAAGAAGAAATAGTCTCCCAGTTCATATGAAATGGTTCCAGCAAAAAGTTGAATGGCTTTCAGATTATTTGCTTTAATCATAATAAAGTAGAAGTTAAGATTCTACAATGCATCCATAAAAGGCATGACAAATAAAACTAAATTTCAGAGGAAACCGAAAGAATTCTGTACTTGTACTCACATGCTGAAACACACAGATAAGCCAGTGCTCTGAACTTGAAACTCATAGAACCTGGGCCAATTTACCATAAAAATACATATAAGTTCAACTTCTGGTCATGATGGAATAATTGGCACTGGCAGTCGGTGCCATGAACAATTAAACACTGCACAAAATACATGAACTTGCTACAGACGACTAGAAAACTGCATAAAATACAGGAAACAACTGTGTTCCGATGTTAGACAACAGGCAGTACACAACTGTGATCTCTGAGAAAAGGGAAACAAACAAAGTGATCTTCATGATTATTCCAGCTTTCTGCCTTAAGGGTCCTCTCTGGATGGTAGCACTGGGAAGAAGAATCCAAGCAGAAGACACCGACCTGAGTTGAGGAGATACATCAGAATTTAGGGAGACTAAAGCAGCAGCAATTTATGGGGCCAGAATACAGAGCTACCCAGAGAAAAAGCTCCAGACAACTACACAGGAGCCTCCTTGAGCTTTTGGTTGAATACCAAGTTGCATACGTATAAGGGGAGACCACACAAGGCCCAATGAAGAATGATAGGAAAGCTGTGAGTCCAATGTTCTCATTGCTCATTTGGGGCTGGGAGATGTTCTGACAGATTCCATGGAACACCTTGGGCATTCTATAAAATGTCAGAAGAATTACACCTTAGGGATGGGGCCAAGCCAGCCCTAAAAAGAGAAAAGACTGTAGCACACTTGACTTAGCAAAGCTTTAAAATAAGCCTCCAAAGCATCAATCTGATACACAAGTAACATTACTGTGTGATAAAACAGAACTCAAAATTCTTTAAAGGAAGGTAACAGAATACAGATACTCCATAAAGTAGCACCACAACGTTCAGCATATAATCATGAAGCACTGGACAGATGAGAAGCAGGAGAATGTGACCCACAAACTCAGCAACCTGTCAGACAATATCAAATGATCCAGCATTTCTGTGTGGGTTGGTGGGGGCAGGAAACATATCTGAGACAGAATGAACCCAAATTTTACCATTTTGATACATACATACAGATTCAAGAAACTCAATGAACTCAAAGCAGGAAAACACACACACACATACATACCTACACACACGTGCGCACACACACACACGTGCGCACACACACCCAAGGCAAATCATAATTAGATTAATGTAAATCAGAAATATCAAGAAAAATCTTAGAAGTAGCCAGGAATAGCATGGAGGACATTAGGAGAAGGAAGGGAAAAATGAAGTGGGAGAAATCAGAGGGGGGAAGAACCATGAGAGACTGTGGACTCTGGGAAACAGACTGAGGGTTTTAGAAGGGAAATGGGTGAGCCTGGTGGTGGGTATTAAAGGAGGGCACGGATTGCATGGAGCACTGTGTGTTATACATACATCAAAAACTAATGACGTACTGTCTGGTGACCAACATAACATAATAAAATAAAAATTTTTCTTAAAAAAGCAGCCAGGAAAAAAAAGAAAACACTATATACAGAGAACAAAGGTAAGAAACCACTAAATTCACATCAGAAACAATGCACACAAGATGACAAGGGATGCGCAACTTTTAAGTACAGAAAGAAAAAAACTGTCTACTTAGAATTCTGCATCCAACAAAAATAGCCTTCATAAACAAAGGCCATGTGGAGAAACTGGAACCTTAATATACCACAGTGGGAGTATCAACTAGTGCAATCTGGCAGTTCCTCAGAAAGTTAAACAGTGTTACCACAGGACCCACAATTCCACCCTTAAGAGAACTGAAAAACCTGTATCCTCACAAAAACTTGGTAGGTGAATGTTCACAGAAGCATTATTCAGAAGAGCCCAGAAGCAGAAACAATTCAAATGCCATCAAGTAAGAAAGTATGATGTATCCATACAGTAGAATATTATTTGGCAATAAAAAGGAATGAAGTATTGATACAGGTGGCAAAATGGCTTAACTTTGAAAACACTCTGAAAGAAGTGAAAGAAGTCTGATTCAAAGGGTCACATAGTGTAGTATACCACTTACAGGAAATGTCCAGCATAGATAATTCTATAGAGACAAGAAACTGATTGCCAGGAGGGGAGTGGTTTGAGAAGAAACAAGGCGTGATCACTAGGGATACAGGGCTCCTCTTGGAGTAATGAACATGTTCTAAACTTCACTGTGGTGATGGTGGCCAAACTCTACAGACCTAAGTCAAACTATTAAATTGTACACTTTAAATGTAGGAGTTGTGGCTCAGTGAAGCTATTATTTAAAAAAAAAAAAAAAAGATTTTTAAAATGAAGGTGAAATATGTTTCCTCATTTTCAAATGAGAGCAAGAGAACTGGTCACTAACAGGTACAAGAAATGCTATACATGGTATTGGCTTCCTTTTTTTTAAAGGAGCACTAATGATTCCAGACTCTGCAAGAAAAATATTAAAAAGGGGGAGACAAAGGGCGGGGGGAGACCCTCAATGTTTTCCTAGGATATGCAGGGAAAAAACAGCAGGAAACAATTTTTTAGGGAATAAGAATTAGACAGCTGTTTCTTCTCAGAAGAAAAAAGAGAGAGGGAGAAGATGTTCTGAAATGGATTTCTGAGTTAAGTATCTGAAGTTTTAGAAGTCCAGACCTTAAACACCCTCCACAAAAACTTGTGATCTTTAACTCATTTCTACCGATTTAGAAATGAGTAAGACATGGTGGTACCTGCTTATAAGTTTACTCAAGTCACCCTTGGTGACTTCTGCAGGGCTTGGACTTGTTTTTGGGTGGGGGAGTTACGACAACATGTTAAAGCAAGATGCAAAAATGTTTGTCATCACTTGACAAAGTGATGTCAACTGTGCAAAATAACCTCACAGAACAAACAGCTCCGATGAAATGGGTACATTAAGTTAATGAAATGATGGATTACTTCTTCCTTTTTTCCTGTATTTTCAGTTTTCTCTTAGTTTCTACTTACTACTTTAAATTCACTTGAGAAATTTTTTTGATTTTGGGTTTTTTATTTTTTGTATATGTGCTGCCGAAGCGAGCACGGGTTTTTTATTTTTTGGCAATAGTATCCAAATCACATGAAAAGTAGTTCTGAAAGACCGTTTTGGCTGTGCTAAGTACAGCGGTGACATCAGTGAACAATGACAAAGGTCTAGCTCACAAGTGGTTTCTAATCTAACAGGACTGACAGGGTCTTTATGTAAGCACTGACTAAAAAATTCCCAACAAGTGCTCTGGGTGTGGAGAGAAGGAGAAAAAGAGTAAGAAGAAGGCAGAAATTGAAAACTCTATGCAGAGTCCTTTCTTTACGAAAACTGTAGAAATTATTCTATGCAATAGTCAAGATAAACCTAAGTACTGCAACATTCATGTTAAAAGAAACGTAAGACAATTTTTAAAATGCGCAAAATATTGCAAAAGACACTTCCCTGAAGATAATACACTGATGGCAGATAAAGATATGAAAAAATGCTCACTATCATTAACCATCAGGGAAATGCAGATTAAAAGCACTAAGAAATCCCATGATGCACCTACTAAAATGGCTAGCATGGAAAGAACGAACCATACCAAGTGTTGGTGATGATGCGGAAGAACTAGAACTCCCATACCCTGCTGGGAGGAACCTTAGATGATATGAACACTTTTGGAAATAGTTCAGTAGTTTGTTTTTTTTTTTTTAAACATACACCCACAATATGATCCAGCTGTTCCATTTCTAGATAGTCAGCCAAGAGAAATGAAAGTTCACAACCATGAAGAGACTTGCCCACATTTGTAATGCCCTCCAAAGCTGTTCTAACAGCCAAATGTTGGGATCAACTCAAAGGTCCATCCACAGGTGAAGAGACAAATTACGGTGTACCTCATGGTGAAACATTCCTCACCAACAGAAAGGAATGAACTACTGACATGTGCAACAACATGAATGAACCTCAAAATAATCATGCTAAGTAGAAAAAAAGACCCAATAAAGATTATACACTCTCTGACTCCATTTATACCAAGTTCAAGAATAGAGAACACCTAACGGTGGAGATGGAAGATGGAAGTCCAATCACTGGCAACTTCTCTAGGAGGAAAGAAAGATAGTGCTGGAAAGAAGTTCAAGGGACCCTTCTAGTTGCTTCTAATCTTCTACTTCCGGATTGGGTGCTGGTCGTGTGACTGTGTGTGTATGTAAAAACTCATCAACTTGTATACTTTTGACCTGGGCACTTTGTGTCTGCTATACCTCCATAAAAACATGAAACCATTAGAGCAAGGGAGGAAGAAGAGAGGAGTCAGGCCAAGACAGAGAAATACATGTACCCTAACAGCTGCAGTTACACAGAGAGAAGGGCTTCGGGGAGAGGCTAAGTCCTGCAGCTCAGGCTCTCATCACCTCTGTCACCAAGCACTCATGCCATTGTCTGGGGGTCCCACCATTCTAGTCTCTTTCCACCTCTCAATAAATGACATGCAGAATCATTTATCTCCTCAAGTAGCAGAATCCTTTATCTCCGTAGGTAGCGCACTGAATACTTTACTCCCCTGCTCGAAACTCCTCTCCAAACGCCCCTCCCGCCTATGACTTAAGTCCAAACTCCTCACAGCTTGGATAGGTGCCCTTCAGGCTCCAGTCTCCAAGCCCAGTTGCTGTTTCCCTTCTGTGCCCATCCTCTGCTCCCCACTGAACTGGGATGCTGAGCCTTACCTCATTGCTGCCTCATAGTCCCAACTGCATGCCACCATCTGACATGAAGTGACCAATGCTCTACGCATCTCTGCCTTCAGAAATACACGCCATCTTGTTCCGTACCAGCTCAGATGCCACGTCCTTCACCCAACCTGAACTTCTCCCTCCCTCACCTCCATCCCCAGAGCATGAGGAAAGTGTCTCTGGCCACTTCGCCATCCAGTGATCTGGATGTCTCTCTCTCTATCCCACCCCTGACATGAGTCACCGATGTACCCTGCAGAATAGACACTCAATTACATATTTTTGGGACATATGAGCACAGTCGAGGAAGACATGGAAGGAAACAATGATTCGACGGTGAGAGTAAGAAACTTCCAGCTTCACTTGAGAGTTTGCTTCCCAAGTCGACATCATTTTTTCCCACAAGTGCACCCAACATCCTCCGGATGTGGCACAGTGCGCTTATTCATCTGTCATCCCAACCCATTTTTGGAAAGAGCTGAGCTTAAGCACTTCACAGACCCCCAAATGTTCTCTCTCCCTCTCCAGTCCCACCCCTTACCTCCACTTCCCACAGGGCTTTTGAACTCGTGGCAGATGTGGCCGACTGCCGGCCGGTGGTTCTCAGGAAGACATGCTGTTTCTTCCTGTGCTCATCGCAGGTAAGAAACTTCTCCTGCTCTGCATGGAACAGCCTTACCACATCACCCTAAAAAGTCAGCACATGGAGGGTTTAAAGACCATGAATCGTACCAGAGAACTTAGCTACTGCCCCACGTAGAGCCAAGTGCAGCCAGCCTGGGAAGTACCAAACTCACCCCCTTCAGGATGTCATCTTTGTTGTCACTCCATTTCATGAAAAGGACTATTTTCCAGCTTGTATTGCAGTTGACAGAATTGACCTGAAAAACAAATACAGTTATTTTTTCACACGTCCCTCCCCACAATTGTTTTCCAGCCCAAAAACTCCTCATTACTGCCTAAGAGGCAGGGCTGTGCTTCCGCTCCAAAATCCTACCAATTCATACCATTAAGATCACAGGAACTGCAAATTTAACTGGCCTGGCAGACGTGTTGGGTAATAAAGGGTGCATTTATGCCCATCACCATGTATGCTCAAAATGACTAAGGGTACCTTCTTCACAGCCTTTCTTCTGCAACTCTCCTGCTCTGCAGCCAAAAAGTAAAAGCTCAGTAGAAACAAGGACCAAGAAACATACAGGTGCAAAGACTGCAGTGAACACATTCTAAAATGTGAATGATAATCACTGGCAAGAGCAGCCACCGCTGGTACACTAAACACATGCCAGGCACTGGGCGAAGCACTAATATTCACGACTACGTTCAGTCCTCAGCAACATGCTGAAAAGTGGTAAGGACCATCACACCTATTTCAGACAGGAAAACTAGTGCACAGGGAGATTGGGGACATGTACGGTAACTAGCCTGGAAACGCAGACAAGATCTTGTGATCTTGACCCATAGACAAATATTTATGTCACAATCAAGTTACTGTCCTTTGGTCCTGGAATTGCCAAATTTGAGGCCAAGGAGATGTTTTGCCAAAGTCAACAAATCCCAGTTGCCGGGCCACTGATGGCCTGTAGCACACCCATCAGAATAAGCAGCCAAAGACATTCATCCAAGGCAAACAAACTGGAAAAAGGTGCCCATCTAGCCAGAAAAATGTGAAGAAGAGGCCCTTCTCTGGCTTAACAAATTAGGCAACAATCTCCCAATTATAGGAGGCTTAGTAAACTGAGTCCTAGGGGAGCTATCAGCCCTCCCCCAACCCTGATTCTGGGTCTTCGTTACTCCCCTCCAGAACAGGTATGCTGCCCCAAGTCACTAATAAGGTCACTTTCATCATGCACGTGCTGTGGCCCCAAGGAGCCCTGCTCCTGCGGCCTCTCCTTGCCCACAGCCATCACGTGGTTTCCCTTACCTCGTTGCAGCCCGGGTTATCCACCAGCTGATGGCTGCTGGCATGTAGGGGCTGGCCAGCATTGACGGGGTTCAGTACAACCTTGTCACCAATGACCACCTGGAAAGGAAGAGACCAACAGAGCTTTTCAAAAAAGGGTCTGACGTCCTCGTGGAGAGCAGGTGGGGATGTTTAGACCACACCCTTGGATATGGCACATCCTCACCCATCACAGCCAAACACAGGCCAAGCAGTGAAGTCCCACAATCCCCATCCAGTCCCTGGAGAAATACCAAGACCAGCATGGGACACCACTGCCAACTGTCAATATCCCCCCTTTCCTACGTTAACAGAGATCTATAAAAAAGCTCAGAGTATTAGGAATAGAAGCAGAACATTGCCTGAAGGAAGTCTATTTTTAAATAAATAAAGCTATAATTGTCTATATCTAAAGTAATGACTTTCATACTTTTTTGGTACAAGCCACAATAAGAAATGCATCTCTATTATATTCCAGTTCATACCTACTTATGTGCACATATGTGTGTGTGTATATATATATATGTATGTGTGTGTACATATATAGATATACATATCTATATTTACCTAAAACAGAAGTTACCTCCCTAAAACAATAGTCATTCTCATTATGTTTAGGACAGCATGATACTATCTATTCTCCACTTTCTAAAATGATAGTCACAAGCCACAAGCCAATAGTCACAAGCCACCAACGGGAGTCCACAAACAGATCAACACTTGTTTGTAAAACACTATCCTACAAAGGATAATCAAACTTTCCATGCCATCATACCTTCTCAACTAAGGCACAACTAAACAGATAAGTTTAAAGAAAGCCAAGGATTTGCCAAATATGAAATTCAGGACAAAGCACCTTGCTCTTTTATTATGAGGGTAGAGGGAAGGAAAACCAAATTGATGGCTTCCTAAGAGGTAAAACTCATCTATTTTCATTTTGCTACATTTGGGGAGGGCATACAACTAAATTTTCCCTAACTCCAAATAAATCACACACACACACACACACACACACACACACACACACACACACACACACACACATAAATATAGATAGATAGATATAGATATGGACCTCAAAAAAACCAAAACCTATGGTGAACACTAAGCTTTACTGGACTTGTTCTTCTCTCCTCAGTTGAGGATCAATATTTACTGCATACCATCTGGGAAGGTATGGTCTGTTTCTACCTGCCTCTGGGATACAGCCTATAACGTAATACATACCCCAGCATATAAACGAATGCTTCACTGCCCAAAGCTTGCAAACTTAAATAGCAATATGAAAAACGGCAAAACTCAGTTTGAGATTAAAGCTAGCTGAGCATTTTGACCAGATTTCAAACTGTTTAAGGAACACATTTTGTGTAAGAAGCTACTATTGTCAAATCTTAACAAGGTCAGAAAAACAGCTTAATAGCATTTAAACATACTTGTTGTCAAGTTGATGCCCACAAAGTGACGTACTAATGCAGCTGACAACAACCAGAATGCTCTGAGTCACATGGACAAGTATTTTGGTGGCTTTATACCCCAAGCAGAGGAGCCAGCTGAGGACCAACCCCAGTCACTGACACGGATGGAGAATCTGCCAGCTTACCGATAAAGGAACAACTGAAGCGTCATCCTAAAATCCATTCTCCCTCCCTACTGTATCTAGTTATCTTCTCTTCTCCTTTTCTACTAACTGTATTTCCAAAATAGAGAGGCGTTTCCATTCCACTAGTGATCTAGAATGACAGGGACACTGCCCAGGACATTTATATAGGATAGCTGTTTTCATGGTGAAGTTACTGAGGTAATGGGCTATTCATCCAATTTTTTCAGAAACTCAGTAGGAAAAACACAGCTACTGTATTTAGGTCACACTTCTCTCCAAATTTCCCTGTTTCCCAAACATTGGTTTCCATAGTGACTCCCTTCTCTTCATCCAGGATGAGCCTCTGGTTCCAACTATAAAATTCTCCCCATTGACTTTTATATACAGTTAGGGCTGGAGACTTGGCATGGGGCACTCCCCAGGCTGGGAATTTGCACTTACGCTGTCTCCGATGGATCGCAGCTTGTAAAACGGCTGAATATAAAACCAGGACCCTTCATTTCCAGCCTCGTCCAAAGTCACTCTCATGGCGTTCTTCTCCAGCAGAGCCGGAAGCCTCTTATTCACAGTTAGGTATTTATTACTTTTCAAATGCAGGAGCTGAAAACCCACGGAGGAAATAAGGTGAGTGTCAGCAGGTCTCTGAATCTCTGTGATGTCTTCAGTCACAAAATATGTTTCAAACATTCCTTCTACCCCTGAGCTAACTTTAAAGTTAGAAAATCGTCAACGTGTCTGAGGCAGGGAATAATTGGAAAATAAGGAAGAGCAAAGGAAGAAGTAGAGGGAAGAAGAAATATTTTATTCCCCACCCCCAACATGGCCATGAACAAGACGAAAGTTGTTCAGGTCAAGTGCACCATCAGCAAGGAAGAGCATACCATCTTTTAACAAGTAGGAGCTTAATCCCATGTAAAGAAGCTGAGGAACTGCAATCCGAATACTGCTGACCTGAACATGAAGCTGAGGGAAGGCATTTTTGAGCACAAGAAATAGTTGAAGAGATGACCCTATAAGGAGGTAGTCATTTCATGTGGAATAACATGGCTGCTATAAATTTCCACCTCCAACTGCAACTTTATTCTTTATTCTTGGGAAAACCAAAGATCTAAATGGGAAACAACTTGTCTCATAGTAGGTCTACACCAGGAAGCGCTGATTAATGCCTCCCAAATTAACAGGCTATAAGAGAAGATGGAAGGGTAGATGAAAGATTGCCCAAATCCTGGAGAAATATTAAGATCAGTATGGAACTGCATTGCCAACTGCCAATATCCCTTTTTCACATGTTAATAGGTACACTTTCTAGAACATTCCTAGGAGGTCCACATTCTTCTATCAATTCAACAGCATTCTATCAATGCTGTTTGGGTTATGGGTCTGATTTGTGAGTCCCTGGCATGCCTCGGTCATTATACACAAGGGGAAGGCAATGCCCTCTTAAGTCTCATCATTACCCTGGGGAGGGGCCCCTAATCCTCCACATAGCTGTCCAGGTGCTGAACTCAGTTGGTTTATAAACTGACATTACACAGAGATGGAGATGGATCCCAAGATCCAGGGTTCAGAGAAGTAATAATAAGTAATATCAGCTAAAATATATTCAGAGCCTACTCTGGGACAGGTACCTCTCAATCATTCTAGAAAACTAGTACCATTATTATTCCCATTTTGCTAGTGAGCAAACTGAGGCATGGGAACATTTCTCGCCCCAAATCTCATAGTTATTAAGTCACAAAATCTGAATTGGAATACATGGGAGAGTTTATATTCTTAGCCCCTGTGCCTACCTTCCATCTTCAGTTCAAGCCATATTCTCTGATCTAACCACAGGAGGGAGTCCAGAATTTGAAGGCACTGGTCTGACCCAGTAATAAAGCAGATACTGAACTCTGGACCCACCTGGACCCTTGTGTCCTTTCTCATTTGGACAGAACTTGAAAGGATGGTCGAGTGGGACTAGCAGGACGCATCTTCACACAGATTTTAAAGCTACTTTATTATTGCAAAAGGCCAAATAATAATAACCCATTTAAACATAAAAGGTTGCTATTACCAATGTGGCAATTCTAGTTTTCACATGCTCTAGATTATCACTGCTATCTAACACAAATAACAATGGGAAAGAATTCCTTTGTAACCAGTCAAGTTTAAATGGTAAGTGCTATCTTTTCAAAAGGTAAATAATGGAGCAGGATAATCAGATGGGTCAGGTCTTCAAAAGTTGGTAACTATTACCCTTTGTGTCTCTATCAAAATGATCTGGCAACTAGGTAAGTAGAAAAAGGCTACAGGAGTACCTGGGTGGCTCAGCCAGTAAAGCCTTGGACTTGGGTTTTGGCTCAGGTCAGTATCAGGGTCTCTAGATCGAGCCTCTGATTGGGTTCCGAACTCAGTGGAGAGTCTGCTTGAGATTCTATCCCCTCCCTGTCCTTCCCCCTCTGCTCCTCCCCTCCGCCCACCCCCACTCATGCAGGCACCAGCTCTCTCTCTAAAATAAATACATAAATAAAATCTTAGAAAAAAAGGAAAAGGCTACATTTGGCACTGGACCTCCTCTCACACTATTTTCTGCAAGGATAGACCCAGATAGATTTTCTTAGCAAACCCCACAATAGCTATTTCCTAAAGTGTGATTTAACCCCATGCCAACTTTAAAGGCACAAAGGATAAACAAGTGAACCTCACAACCTGTGAGACAAGACATGAAACCTGTCATCAAATATTCTACCTGAAGGTACTGAATTGCAGTGATTGCCCCATGACCAGCTCTTGAACCAACAGATAAAAGTTATAGGGAAGCCAATTTTTACCCAATAGAGAGAACTTTCAAAGAAGGCAAGTGAAACAAAAGTACAGCCATCAGGCTCATTTCCAGATAGGGAACTTCCCACTTCAAATATTTGCACAGAACTTAAATTACCAACCACAGGGCAGAGTAGCGGTTTCTTGCACTGAGAGAGGGCCAACTCAAAAGCCCAAGAATCCAACACATATAAGAAGAAATGCTAGACCTTTTGCACCAGACTGGCTGTCTCCATGGGAGCCCTGTTAGAAAGCTGTCCAAACCCAATTTTCTGTGTTTATTTTTCAGCTTTGCTCTTTGTAACACTCCAGCTCCAGAAGAGAAGAGTGGCCATGACCTACCTGGATCACGTTGCCATATTGGATTACGGTCCCCAGCAATTTCCTGTTTTCTGTCTCATTCTGCTTCTTTTCCAAGTCTGCAGCATGCTGTACATGGAGAAGGAAGACTGGTCACAAAGAGAAAACAATGGCTTGTGTTTCTCCACAGTGATGCAAAACCCATGTCACCAGTTCATATGAGAAATGCAGAAATAAGCAAATACGTAAGCAAAATGAGCAAGGGGTTCAGGAAGCCATCCCACTCTGCCCTTTTTGGCCTTCTTGGCTTTTTTTAAATTTTTTTTTTTTCTTTCAGGCATTCATGGACATCTGCTTAGGTTAAGATTACGTCAAAAGCTTATGTATTTTTGAGGAAAATAGGGTAGGGGTGGGAGAAAATTTGCATAACCCTTTTATGATTTGTAAAAGTCCTCTTTTAACGTTTTAGAATAAAATAAAACTGAATTTAAATGCTGATTTTGGGTGATTTTTGGTTCTCTGTTCTGGAAAATTCATGAGCCTTAGTTTCTACTTTTGTAAAATAAGGATAAAAATAGTACCTATACTCTCATGTACCCATAGCGCCTGGTCACTGCAGCTTTTAATGGAATGATGCTTATTATTATTAGACATTATTGTAATTAATTTAATTTTAATTTTTTTAAGATTTTATTTATTTATTCGACAGACAGAGATCACAAATAGGCCCAGAGGCAGGTAAAGATGGGGGGGGGAAGCAGGCTCCCCGCTGAACAGAGAGCCCAATACGGGGCTCGATCCCAGGACCCTGGGATCATGACCTGAGCTGAAGGCAGAGGCTTTAACCCACTGAGCCACCCCGGTGCCCATTTATTTAATTTTTATAGTAGCTCCTTGAGGGGGGGTTGTTATCACCATTTTAAAAAGAAAAAACAGACTCAGAGATTAAAAGGTTTACTCAACACTGTAATTAGTTGGATGGTAGGTACACAAGGAATTTGTTAATAATATCTACTTCTGTGTATATTTAAAATTTAATTAATAATGTCTTATTTTGGGGTACTTGGGTGGCTCAGTTGGTTAAGGTCTTACTTCAGCTCAGGTCATGATCTCAGGGTCCTAGGATCAAGTCCTGCATGGGGCTCCTTGCTCAACAGGGAGCCTACTTCTCCTTTGCCCTCTGCCTGTTTTGCCCCCTGCTCATGCTCTCTCTCTCTCAAATAAATAGATAAAATCTTAAAAAAAAAAAAAAACAACCCACATCTGTACTGTGCTATGTGAGCGCACATGTACACACACACACACACACACACACACACACACACACACACAGGAGTATTACTCAGCCATTAAAAAGAATGAAATCTTGCCATTTGTGACAATATGGATGAACCTGAGGGTATTATGCTAAGTGAAAGAAGTCAGACAAAGACAAATACCTAACGATTTCACTTACATGTGGAACCTAAAAAACAAAACAAATCAACCAGCAAGGGGCGTCTGGGTGGCTCTTTCAGCTAAGCATCCAGCTCTTGATCTCAGCTCAGGTCACAATCTCAGGACCGTGAGTTCAAGTCCCACATTTAAAAAAAAGAAAGTGACAAACAAAAAGCAGAAACAGACCAGTATATAATGACAACAAACTGGTAGGTGCTAGAAGGGAGGGGGCAAACACCTTTGGAGTGGAGTGGGAGGTGTAGTCTTCCAGTTATGGAATAAATAAGCCATGGGGATGAAAGGCACTGCATAGCGAAGAGAGTCAATGATGCTGTGATGGTGTTATATGGTGACCGGATGGTAGCTATACTTCCGGTGAGCATAGAATAACCTATGAACGTGCCCAGTCACTACTTTTACACCTGAAACTAATTTAACATTGTGTGCCAACTACGCTTCAATTTAAAAATCAATAAAATATAATGATGTTGGATTTTTTTTTTTTAAATCACATCTATTAAGTAGCAGGGATAATCCTCAAACCCACATTTGGGTTAACTGCAAATCTATAGGTACAAAAGGGGCCAGCAGTCAATACTAGTCCAAATTTGGCATGCTCGGGAACCTGGGAAAGCTGAAGATAGGGTTCCAGAAGAGTCAGCCAGGGCCATCAACCGGAACAGGCATTTTTATTCATTTACTTGTACACCTCAGAAAGTACTGTTATCATATTATAACAAAGCTGAAGGGGAACTAGCTTTGTCCTAGGCAATATAGACACTGTTGTTCCAAGCTCTGTCCCCCAAACCTAGACTGGGTCAAACAGAAATAAATTAGCAGGAAGAAATCAGTATCTAATCTGATGGATAATAAAACCCTGGTGACCCGTTGTGTGTTTCAGAATAGTTCCCATTGTTCTCTTCCCAGAGTTTCCCTCTCCTTGAGGCCAGATGTCCCCAGATGCCAATGGGAAAATGGGTCTCTTTCCTAAGAACGGTCTGCATTCTTATAGGACCTTCTGGGCTTGGGCCTGGTTCCACCACATACCAGCTTTACCATCTTGGCCAAGTTACTTAATCTTCCCAAGCCCAACTCAGCATTCTTGTTCACAAAATGGGGACAATGCAAGGGAGATCAGAGAAAATGTTTGCCTGATATATAATAGGCATTCAATAAATTCTAACATTATTATACTACATCACTAAAGTTAAGAAATGTTCTAATGTTCTAATGATGAGAACTTCCACTGGTGAACTGGGTGTCTGGGTGGTAAAAGAGTATTTCCATTTCCTTCAAATTCAGCATCTGCTCCATCTCTACCTTCAGTGTAGGTATTTTTAGGAAGGTACATCTTCTGACAGAAATAAGCTGCAGAAAGCAATCCTAAACCAAAAAGAAACCACGTTACAGGATGGAATGACCTGCCTATGTTAGTGCCGATCACTGTTAAGTTTCTCCCATCTGTCTCAGCCCTGTAAAACAATGGTCTATTCAGAGACGTCCCTCCCTCTTTCTCCTGGAATCAGGTACCAGTCTGCTTCTCTCAGTTACCCAAGGATAAAAATCCACTGGGTTCAAGACACATCCAGAAATAATACCAGGACGGACAACATGATCATCCTAGGCATCTGAACTGCCCTCAGCACTGAGCTTAGCTCTCCCTTCCCCTCTATCCACACCCTCCCTACATTTCCTCCCACCTTCTGTTCTCCCTAGTTTCATGCCTTGCTGCACCCCTCCAGAGATCTCTGGAGTACCCCACACATTCTACAGGTAGTCTCCCAAACACAACACTGGACTGAATGCACTTGGAAGGAAGGTTTAGACTTCTTAGAGAGGCATTTGTTCTTTCTGCTAAGTAGCTGTCTCTGTTAATATGGACAGAACATTCAAGAAAGAAAAAAATGTCCAAGTGGGAAAAATCATACATTCAATAAAATAAGACACAACGTTTTCCAACAAATATAGGTTTTCCTATACTCAAAACCTCCTACTGAAAGGACTCATGTTAGTAATTCACAAGGCAGTGTTTCTTGGACTTAATGATATAAAGGCACCTAGGTGGCTGTCAGTTAAGCTACTGGCTCCTGATTTTAGCTCAGGTCACAATCTCAGGGTTGTGAGACTGAGCCCAGGAGTCTGCTTGAGATTCTCTCTGTCCCTCTTCCTTTGCCTCTCTTTAAAATAAATAAATCTTTAAAAATAAATAAATAAATAAATAAATAAATAAATAAATAAATGATATAAAGGTTACAGTTTAAGAGAAAAAACTCTCATGGGCATTCGTCTTACTCCCAATTTCCAGTGGCCTCAGTTTAAGAAGCACTCATCTAAAATATTAAGTTCCTAGTTACAAGTAGATGAAGTACAAATGTGGCAACTCAGTGTTTGCTGTCATGTCTAAAAAGAAACATCAAATCAGTCATCAAGAAGGCATATAGTCCATATTAAAAATTAAATACCACCAGCTCTACATATTAAAGAGTATTTGTTTAAAAAGATATAAAAGGTAAAATGAGAAAACATTAGAGAACAAATACCTAAGAACCTCTCTTAAAATGCTGACTGTCTCATCGGAAATACTGTTGAAAGGTTTAATGATAACCAAGCCTATATAACCATATATAAGAACATTCAATGCATCAACCTCATGGACTATTTGAAGACTTCACTTTTCCTATAAGCATAAGCGTACTTTGCTTAAGGAGAAAACTCTCCAATTCATTTTACTTTTTACTAAATACATAAATGCCAAATGTGTTCACTTGAATTCACCCATCGTTCCTTAGATAACTTCCTCCACAAAGCCAAATTCCAGCCTTAGACAAAACCATCTTCATGATTTTTGTGTTTCAATAGGTGAGGCGCAGATCGATAAAAAGGGAGTCAGGTACTAACTACGCCTGGGCCCACTGACTGAGGTTGTTTTGCCCTTGAACAGAACACAACTTGGTCTGTTAAACCCCTCAAGTACATTCTAAGGAATGGCCCATGCTGTGAAACGGTGAACTGACAAACCTTTCTGAAGGATTATCTGGCCATGTCTCTCAAGGATTTTCAATGGGCGCCACTTTGATTTGGCAATTTTGTTTATAGAAACTTCTCCTCAAAAGATAATCTTGCATACAAACAGGTCCATAACAGCTAGTTTCAGTCCTGTAAAAACTGCCAGGATTGTGAATACCGCCCACCCCACAAGGACTGACTATGTAAAATCACAGTGTTGACATACAACAGAGGAAGTGGCCATGTGGCCACTAAACAGGAAAATAAAAAGATTCTTATTCTTATATTAAGTGAAAAAAAGTGAGTTAAAGAAAGAGAAGACAGCCGTATGTTCCCATTGATACTTCAAAATGTAGAAATACAGGAATATACAGAGGTGGGGGGGTGCCAAATATAAACCAAGACTATATTTGAGGAGTAAGATTTAGGGATTGTATTTTTTTTTCCTTTTCTTACTCATATATTTTGAAATTCTTTTTCTGTAATACTCATGTGTATTATTTCTTCAAAAACCTCATCATACCTCTGTGACAGATAGCCTGGATTTTTAAAATTCATCTTAAGTGTGTTATGTTTTCAAAATTTAAAACCTTGTAATTTAAACACCTGTTGCTCTTCTCCCTTAAACACTGGGTTGAATTTCCAAGGAAAAAAATCACACTTAATGCTATGGTCTCTATCACCATGGTTCACCCTGGATATTACCATGCTCCCTAAGTGACATGAAGGTCAATCTTATCATAGCCACCTGTTAGCTTACGTCAGAAAAACAGAGAAACCATTCTTCAGTTACTATAGAAAGGTCACCGGAACATGGGGAAAGGTCAACAAGCTCTACAATGTGTAATACAATATGGAATTAAGGCTTCTGAAAACAAGCAATATAGGACCCAAACTTCGGGAGACAAGAGACTCATCACTCCTCTGGCTTTTCCTAGTTTGTCAAGACTATGACTTAATGTAATTGACAGTTTCTCAGAACCAAAACAGTGCAGGTCAAAATGCTGTCAGCAAACAGTAGTCAAAGCCTTTGAACATATTATTTGATTTGTGGGTGGGAGAAGCTCATTTTGCCAAAAGACTTTTGAGAAATCATAACGAGAAGAGTCACAATCCAATTAGTCCTGCAGAGGGAATGAACACACAGTAACCAGCCACTAGATGTCATTCTCCCTCAGAACGCTGTTTATATGTTGCTTATCCTAGTGAAAAGGAAGTCAAGTGGTCTAGACAACTAATTCCTTAAATGGCATTAATTTAAAATTATCTGACCTTTGATTGGGGTGCTGCACAGTAGTTGACAAAAATAAAAATGAAAACCCACTGGAGACTTGCCATCAACCCCGAAAAGTAGGCAGCTGCCCAAAATACAACATTTTAATGACTGCACTAAAACACGTACACGACTTCCAGACACTAGAGGGGAAAAAAAGTCCAAATAAGCAGCAAAGTAGGAAATGCACGAAGTCAACATCCAAGTCACATCAGCAACCCTAAATCGGGGGAAAGTACCAGTTTCCTTTTTAAAAAATGTTTTAAAGAACCAACAGCATGAAAGAGCTATTTCATTTTCTTTCTTTTGCTTTCTTTCTTTCTTTTCAAATGTGTTCAGAGTTCTTGATCACCTTCAAGATTGCATTTTTTTTCAACTGTGCAGTTTTTTTCACAGTTCATTCATGAGAAGGAGCCCTGAAAGGAACTTTCATTGAAAGGAAAAACGACAGTTCATTACAGGTTGCAAACGGGTGGCTAAAGAACCCCATCCAGCTCGAGATGTTATTGTACTGAATGGATGCTTTAAACTTTAATTGAATTAGGTGCCAACATCTTTTGAAAAATTGACATATTAGATAGAAAGCATGAATTTTTAGCTTCTCTTGAAAAAGTATAAGATGTGGCAGCAGCTCTGGGCCCATGTCCCCACGCACCAACAGCAGGGGCACGGAACTGCCCTGCTCTGGACCCACACACATGCACATTCCACTTAGCAACCAGGCCCACCAAGTTCCTTTTATTCCAGTTGGCTTCCTGCATGGTCAAGAGGAATCTGAATTTCCAACTTCTGCTGTAAAAAGCATAGGAAAAGGAAGGTTTTTGAGAGGTACTAATAAGATCTGATAGAACAGAATGATTTTCGTATCAGAAAAAGAAAAGTCCAAACTACGAAAGATGTACTTCTTCCAAGATAACCCCACAGGCATAAGCACTCAACAGCTACTGAGAGAGATGTGCAAAATCAAACAGTCTTGCCCAAACCATTCAACTAGATTGCCACAGTCCCAACACAAATGTCAGGAGGATCCTGGGTCATCACAATGGTTGGGGAAGGTGGGGGTTGCTACTGATATTCAGTGCACAGAAGCCAGGGATGCTGGATTCCCCGAGATGCGTGGTACAATCCCGTCTAAGGACAAAGCATCATTCATCCTGTACAGTTGCATGTCTGACTGACATTTACATGGGTTAAAAGGCTGTCTGCAATTTCTGGGTCTAGCTCCTAACTCCACTTTACGCATCAACACAAAGCATAGTTTGATAGGGTTTAATTACCACTAACACATTTACCCAAAATGCAAGTGCTGTTTAATAAAGGGAGGAATGTCCTTTGCATTCTTTGTAACACTACCAAGATCTGCTGACCATTTTGGAAAATTACTTACCAAAAAAATTGCTTTTTAGTGGCAGTACTATACACCTACCTGAGTCATAGTCCTTGGCTGCCTCATTCAGAGTTTATACAAATAGGAGTGAGCATTTACTTAAGTCCCCTTGAGTAATCCTGCCCAAGCATTAACTAAAGCACACAATTATAAGATTTATTACTTTCCTCTTATTTCTTCTTTATAATTCATTTTTTAAAAATGTGGTGTCTTCAGAGGTTGTATTATGTATGAATGTTATTTCCTGTTTATAGAGTTACACAGTATTTTCTACTAAGAGGGAGTCTACTGAGGTTGAGAATGTCTGCCCTAAAATCATGAAAATAATGACACAATTCCTGAAGTATTCAAAGCAACCTATTTGTTTCTGTTCTTTCTTCTTCTCCTGACCTCTGACTCCCACAGATGCCTCAGACTGAGGCTTGGCACTTCTTTTTCCTCCAGGAAGCCCTCCCTGACTACTCATACTTATTCACAGAGATGGATTGGGGTGCTCCTTTTAGGTATTCCCGCAACCTCCCAGGTGCTTTTAGGATCACCTGTAATAGTACTTGCCATACTGTCTTGTCACCACCTCTTTATTCCTTATTAACTCTTGAGCTCCCAGAGGGTTCAGACACTGTCACAGTTTTATCCTGATTACCTAGCACAGTGCTCCTTCAATCAACAAATATTTCTTGAGCATCTACTATGTGCCAGATACTATCACAGGCACGGGGGACACAGTGGTGAACAAGCCAGCCATTCCTTTTCATCTTGTGGGGCTGCCATTCTAATGAATGAAAGAGGATAATTAAGGGAAGTACTAAATATAATTGCAGACTATCATCAGTGCTGAGAAAAACAGAGACTGTGCTGCAGTGGAGGAAAGCCAGCAGGGTATCACTGAGATAAGGAGATGAGGAGACACCTCGCTGAGATAACGCTTCAACAGAGATACGAAGGCAGCAAAAGTCTTCACTTAAGAAGAATCAGGAGAAGAATGTTCTAAATTGACAAACTGAAAGGTAGCAAAATTGTTAAGAGACTACAAAGGTAGCAAAATTGTTAAGAGACTATGGTGCTCAAAAAAAATGAAATGAAATAAAGCTACTGGAGCAGAGTACGTGCAGTTCAGAAGGCTCAGAGGTTAAAGCAGGATCCAGCAAGGACAACATCTGGATTTCATTGTAAGTGCAATGGCAGTGACTGCCGGTGTGTTCTCACCCTGCACAAGCTCACTGAGGTTAGGAACCAGGTCTTTTCATCAGACCTAGAGCACCTAACCCCCATCCAACACGGTGTACTCGGGATCAATGAGGCCCTCCACGTGAGCCTTCCTTTACCAAATGCAGCTGGTCGTGACTTTGCTGCGTATTACTCAAGGGGAGCCAGTGTGACAGATGACCGGGTAAGCTCCATGGGGCTCACAGATACACTGTGTCTTTAACTATTATCGCTAAGTCTCAAGAGAGACCTTTGTTTTTCCTTCTGGTAGCAAGTATCTGAGTGCCCACTATGTCTTGCAGGCATGAGAGACACAGCAGTGTACAGCAGTGTACAAACATGACACAAATCCGTGCCTGCGAGTAGTCTGTTGACATGAGTGGGGGGTAGCCGGCTGATAAAATACATTAGAAAGATTATGATAAATGACACTGAGAAAAATAAAGCAAGAAGGGGGGATAGTGAATGGGTTGCAATTTTAATACTACTACATTGGGTATATGTCATGTCGTTCTTCTAAACACCTCCAAGTAGTTCCACACAAATTAGCCTCACAGAAGAATTAGGTCATCTAGATACTAGACACTAGAAAATGATGTCACTGTTTTACAGACAGAGAAATACACTCGGAGAGGCTCAAAAACTTGCTCATAGTCACAGAGCACATCAGCAGTGGAATAAGCTTATATGCTAACTAGCAGTCAAGATAAAACAGTGATAAAATTTATTAAGCCCTTATTGTATGTTGCAGGCACTGTTCATGTGCCTTTCATGTGTCATTTCATATAATTCGCACACTAATCTCTTGATGTGGATATTATTCCCATTCCCATTTTATAAGCAGGTAATGAAGGCCCCAAAGAGCTGATTAAACTTCCCAAGATCAGCACTGAGTGAGTTTGCTTCCAGAGCTTGTGCTCATAACCAGTACTGTAGCTAGAGTTATCCCCGAAAGGGAATGCCTAAGAAAACAGTGCCTCTCAAGGGATCCCAGGGTGACTATGATCTCAAGGGTGACTATGACCATCTCTCCTTAGAGTCAGCTCCCTTTTCCCCCTTTATCAAAGAACATAGGAAAGCCTGTGCCCAGAGTTGGAGGGTTGCAAAGCTAATCCACTTCACTTAGACACAACCCAAGTGGCCGTTCCTAAGACCCTTGTCTCAGACAGGTCCCTCACAATACGTACGTGCAATTTGTTGAGCAATACGGCATCTGTTGTGCTGTTGGCCCCTGGCTTGGCAGCTTTCCAGAACTGCTTCTGGGCAGAGTAGCGATTCATGGGACATAGCTTAAAGAGGCAATCTAGAAGTGAAACAAATAAGAATGTTTTTGAGGAAGTATATGCATCCAACCTATGAAAAAACATTCTCTTAAGTATAAAGTTACAAGGCCCCTTTAGGAACTTCTCCTCTGACCTTTAATCTGTGCCAGCACAATGTGAGGTGCCAGGTGAGGAAACTGAGGCTTTCAGAAAGTCAGTCAATTCATTAGCTGTTGTCTCACAGCCAGTTAGTGGCAGAGCTAGGACTCAGAGTCTGGGGCTCTTAAAGCTACCCCATAGTTATCTCCTTTCCTTTGTGATGGACAGACAGGAGAACAGACACCCTAGTCATATGCAACAACACAAGCATTTTCGAATGCAAATACAACTCTCTTCAATCCAACTACATTTAAAAAAAAAAAAAAAAACTACAGAAGGGGCACCAAGGTGGTTCAGTGGGTTAAGCCTCCAACTCATGAATTCAGCTCAGGTCTTGATCTCAGAGTTGTGAGTTCATGCGCTATGTTGGGCTCCACACTGGGCATGGAACCTACTTAGAAATAAACACTAGAGAAGCTTTTTTATAGGGACCTCTTAGGGCAGTGGTCTCTTGAGTACCATATACAAAATGATTCTCGGGGGCAGAAATAAAATATCTGGGGCTTGGAGAGAAACAGTGAAACAGCACAAGCCCTTTCCCCTCAGTGTCAGTGCGTCACGATGTGCTTCCATGTGGGTGTGCCTGGACTCATACAACTTCATATACTGTCTTAGAGAGTAGGTAGAACTGGCCCTCACAACAGACTACTGGCTTCAAAGTATTTCTGCAAAGAAGTCCAACCAGCAAAGATAACGGTAATGCAAACTTAGCAAGTAAGACAAAGGCACAATCAACTCTTGTTGCATTCCCTTTGTGAGCCACTAGACAGGGAAAATAATGATGATCCAAAAAAAGGAAATTTGAAATCGCCTAGATAATAACCTAATAAAACCATTTAAAGCATTGTCTCTAATGATGAGCCTAACCCTACAGCACCTCTGGGCCTCCCAGCAGGATAATCATAATAGGATAATCCTGATAGACAGGATACAATACTGTTTAAACTTAATATTTTCATCAATGTTCACTTTCCTGCTTGTTTTTATAATATATACAATATATTAGTATAGTAACAGATATTCAGAACTTTCAAATATATACATAGACATAGTTTAGGGGTATACTTGTCAAATTTTTGATAGGGACATGCCACCAAAAAAAGTTTAGAAATAGTTGCTCTAAAAAACTAACTCAAAAAATTGACACTATTCCCTGAGAAGTTTACATTTTGATATAATTAGGTTTTCAAGAGGTTAAGTATTTATAGAGTAAATTTAGTAACTCTGGAATGAAAACCTAGGTTTAGAAAAAGTTTACCCTAAAATATTTCAGAACAAACTTCTCAAGGATATTCAATCTAATAACCACACACTTATTCTTATCTGTTCACTGAAAGAGATTCTCTTAAAGGACCTCAAATGGGAAAATACCTAATTATAGTTTACACCAAATAACTCTCTCAAAGCAACAAAAATTCATTTGCTATCAGGTAGGTAGACACAATGGCTTTGCTGTAATTCCAATCACTGTTTCTTCTAGTTAGGATCAGTGAATTTTTACAAAGTACTGCACAATCACTTGACACTGTTCAGGAAACAAAAAAAATAAATAAATAAAAGATCATTTAATTGTAAAACTAAAAAGTACTTCCCCCCTTTCCATAATCTTCTTCTTCACTAAATATTTCTACCTAATCACAAGCAGTTACAAAGTAAATATAAAAGCATAGATATCCACCCTTATCAAGAACATAATCCTTAATCTATTACTCAAAGTAATCATTAGGGCATATGAAAGATGCTTTCTAGATAGAAAACAAAGGACACCTCAGGTAACCTATTAAAAGATAGAGTTGTTATCCCCAACTCTTATGAAAGCCACAGGTCACTGTCATTTACTGTTTTAGTGGCAACTTAATGACATCATTAAGACACTATCCCCACCAGTTTCACCTATGTGAAAGCCCCCCCCCCCCCACTATTTACCCCATGAACAAGAACACACAACCATGAGACTATTGGTCAGCTTTAAAGGTCCCAGTTTTGGTGGTGGACAGAAGTGGGCTGGACAAGGGTGACATCCTTGATAATCACGTGACTGAAAGGACATTCAAAACATGAATGCCATCAGTATTAATATTTGACACAGAACTCACTTTATGGGCCAAATAGGGTGAACAATTTCAAACTTCATCAATAATAAGAGTAAAATGGTCTGCATTTTTTTCCTCTAACACACTTCATATGATAATAGCTAAATGGTATGAATTGCAAACAAAAGAATTTAAGTTGGTTCTAGGAACAATCAGGCTGGAATCATAATGCCAAGGGATTAACATGCAATGGAAAGTACCATTCGACAAGTGTTCATGGGACAGCCAAGTCCAACGCCCCACTTAAATAAATGGGCCACAACATAGGCTCAAAACTTCAGGTGACTTCACCTTCATCGAGGATGAGAGTGTCAGTTTAAGTACTAACAATCCAACCAGAGCCTTGCCGGAACTTCCACACTGACTACTTTCCTTGGACAAAACAAGGCGCTGCATTGGGTGAAGCATATTTACAACCAACCGCTATGTAAATACAAGAGATGCTAACAAACTAGTAACAGAACCAAATTAGCCTTGCTGATTTTGTCCTGTCTTCCCAGTTGCTTAGCAACTGATTCAAAGAGAAAATTAAATTAAGCAATTCAAATGTGATGTTAAACTAACCTTCCAAAATTCTGCAAGTCAGCGGCTCCACATCGCCCTTTGCTTATGTGGATGGCACAGCAGGGCAAAATTAGAGTTCCGTTGGATTCTAATACTGTGCTAAGTATAGGAATACACAAATACAGGAAATCCAGTAGAAGAAAATATATAATACATATTTGAGAGAAAGGAGTACGTGTGTGTGTGTGCGTGTGTGTGTGTGCACGTGTGTGTATATATACATATGTGTGTACACACACACACACACACATGCATGCACGTGCACATACACAGTGGTCTGATCTCACCCCAAAGAAATGCCACAAAGAATACCTTATGTGACAAGTGTTATTTTAGGCCTTTGAAGAATAAACTAAACTAAGCTTTCAAAAAATTACTCCTGAATATTCCTAAGCTTTCACAGATGCCATACTGGGCTAACACAGAAGTTGTTAGCTGAATAGAGGGTTGGGTTAGGTGCTAAAGGGCTGCGTGGGCTGGAACCCAAATTCAACAGGCCATGGGGGATCTTCTGTGGTTTAAATGGCATCCCAGAGCTTGGCTGGAAGGAGAAGGGTCAAATGCTTGAAGATGCATTAACTATGAAATGAGCACTTGTGGTGCACAATTAAAAGAGGAAATCAAGGGGGCACTTGGGTGGCTCAGGTGTTTAAGTGTCAGATTCTTGATCGTGGCCATGATCTCAGGTCATGAGTTCAAGCCCCACATTGGGAAACAAAAACAAAACAGAAAGAAGGAGAAGTCAAGAGGAGCCACAGGTGTTCATGGAGTCCTCTGTGACCGGGTCCCTGGGGGTGAAAGCAAAGAAGCCCTCTGGGGGGGGTGGGTACACCTTAGGGACTAAGCCAGATAATAAAGGCTGCCAGAAGAACAGCCAAAACCCCACTCCCTCCATACTATCTTCCACCCACATCCGTAGAATTTTGAACTCTAGAACAATAGGCTCCTGAGTGCAGACATTTTGTCTGTTTGGCATGCACTCGTAAACCAGGGCCTAGGAGTCCAGAAGGAGCGCAGCGATAGTTGCTAAGTTAGTGACTACACTGTGCTGTCATCTCTATAGCTCCCCAAGTGATGACAGGTATGTCCTCTCAAGACACCTCCAAGTCTAAGCCCCTGGGAATCTCTTCCCTAACTCAGTTACCATTTACTAACGTGCCTACTGTGGGCTGGGTGCAGTACAGGGTGCTGAAAATACAACGCTGAACCCAGCTCACACGTTTCTTAATGAGAACAAAAAACTCAAGACACAAGTTGAATGGCATTAAGTCAAAAGTACTGTGGAGGAATGAATTCTATACTGCCACAGTGTGGCCACCACGGAGACATGGCGTTCACACAGGTTCATCAGGATGGGCCCCCCTAGGACAGTGGCATTTGACAGATGGCTGAAGGGTGTGAGGAGCCACCTTGATAAACATAAGGAGGCAAAGCTTTCCAGCCAAAAGGACTAGCAAGTCCAAAGGCCCTTAAGTGAAAGAAATTTTGAAAAGGTTAAAAAAAGAGAGAAGAAAAGAAACCAAAAGAAAAGAGAAGAAACAATGGCCCGGAAGGTAATGGGCAACACGGTGAGTTACGAGATGTGGCCAGAGAAGCAAGCAGACGCTGCTTCACCCAGGTGGTGTAGACCCTGGCGAGGCAGGGAATTCTTATTTTAAAAGCAGTGAGAAGCTACCAAAGGGCTTTAAACAAAGAACCTCGGAAGGGAGCCTTGTTTTTTGGTGTTGGTGCCTACTAAGAAAGGGAAGGCTAAGGGAGGGGTGAATTTGGGGAGAAAAGTAGAAATCAGTAATTTTAACTATGCTTCGTTTGAGATGCCTATGAAACATCCAAGCCGAAATACTGAGTAAGCCGTCCATCAACTAGCAGGTGGGAAATACAGTAGTTATTTAAGGAGTGAGGGTGCAGGGTGGGTGGGGGCGCAGCGAAGAAGGATGGGGATGCTGAAGAGCAGAAACGTCAAGGAAGTCAGCATTACAAATAGAATTTAGCTACCCACCTGTGACTAGGGAGGGCAGAAAAAAGACCACTCCTCCCCCTTTCCTTCCTCCCAAAAGAAAACAGAAAAACCCAAATCCATCCTCTATGAAACTCAGTTTGATCTTCCCAAGTCACAAGAAATGAAGATGGAAAGAAGATGAAGGAGTGGAACTTGACAGGTAGGGAGAAGTGAAGCCTGAGTGTCTGCAGAGGGGTACCAGGGAGAAGGAAGCCAATTTTCCCAG